AAACGGCTTTGATTTCCTCTAGAAATGAAAAAGGTAAAGAAAGAAATTGCAATAAAAAATGATAAGGTTGTTTATTTTTTACTTCATATTCAATGCTATTTTATTTTGTAATTTAAAAAAAATTAATGTGGAATTATTGAACGATCTGAAACGGTTAAAAATGCATGTGGGACCGATCACGAATATTTGACCCCTAATTGTTACGAACTTTTGTGTTGCCGCGATCATCACAGTTTTTACATATGTTATTGGGGTCAATGAGAGGAGTCTCTGACTAAATTTTGAAATAAAAATTTTGAGTACTTTTTGAAATATCCGGGAATTTTGAAAAACCCAAAATTGCGTTTATCTTTGCTCCTATTGAGTTTAGAGCAATGCGGTTTTCACCATAATGGGTAACTTTTTATTCTGAACAACTTTTCTGTAGGCCAAAACGTTCTAGGTCAAAGGTCAAGGTCACTAAAATGCATTTTAATTTTTTAAAGCTATTTTTCTCAAAGAAGCATACCTTGGATTTTTTCCGTGGTATAGGAAAAAATGTAGCCCATCAAATTTAGCATCTGGTCAGTAAAAATCTCGATGGCCTTATTTTTAGTTTTTAAGATATTTTAGCTATAAATTAAAAAGACGCGTTCTCGGCAAAACACGTTATTTTGAATTGTGACAGTTTTGATATAAATAATGTGATTAGAACAATGCGGTTTTCGCTATCCACCTTAATTTTTTATTCTGAACAACTTTTCAATTGACCAAAATGACCTAGGTCAAAGGTCAAGGTCACTAAAATGCATTTTTAGTTTTCAAGGCCATTTTTCTCAAAGAAGCATACCTCGGATTTTTTTCGTGGTATAGGAAAAAATGTAGCCCATCAAATTCTACATCTGGTCTGTGAAATTCAGAATGGCCTTATTTTTAGTTTTAAATATATGTACATATGAATTAAAAAAGTGCGCTCTCGACCGTATATTTTCATTGAAAAACATGCTTTTTTAAATACTTATTTAAATAACTTTAAAACTAAAAATAAGGCCATTCTGAATTTCACAGACCAGATGTAGAATTTGATGGGCTACATTTTTTCCTATACCACGAAAAAAATCCGAGGTATGCTTCTTTGAGAAAAATGGCCTTGAAAACTAAAAATGCATTTTAGTAACCTTGACCTTTGACCTAGGTCATTTTGGTCAATTGAAAAGTTGTTCAGAATAAAAAATTAAGGTGGATAGCGAAAACCGCATTGTTCTAATCACATTATTTATATCAAAACTGTCACAATTCAAAATAACGTGTTTTGCCGAGAACGCGTCTTTTTAATTTATAGCTAAAATATCTTAAAAACTAAAAATAAGGCCATCGAGATTTTTACTGACCAGATGCTAAATTTGATGGGCTACATTTTTTCCTATACCACGGAAAAAATCCAAGGTATGCTTCTTTGAGAAAAATAGCTTTAAAAAATTAAAATGCATTTTAGTGACCTTGACCTTTGACCTAGAACGTTTTGGCCTACAGAAAAGTTGTTCAGAATAAAAAGTTACCCATTATGGTGAAAACCGCATTGCTCTAAACTCAATAGGAGCAAAGATAAACGCAATTTTGGGTTTTTCAAAATTCCCGGATATTTCAAAAAGTACTCAAAATTTTTATTTCAAAATTTAGTCAGAGACTCCTCTCATTGACCCCAATAACATATGTAAAAACTGTGATGATCGCGGCAACACAAAAGTTTGTAACAATTAGGGGTCAAATATTCGTGATCGGTCCCATGTGCTACTTAAAAAAAACCAGATTTGAAATAAAATTAAATAAATTTAAAAAAAGAAGAGGTTCTTTGGATATGTGGTTATTTATTTAAAAAATGCACAATTTTGAATATAGAGTTGATATTTCTTAAAAAAATAAACAGCTCATTTGAAAGAAATTTAAGGGTTGACCTTTGTTGTTGAAAGTGTCCAGCAGTTTGTTAGTTCCGCTTTTTTTTTTACCAAAAGAGAAGTTTGTGTGCCCCGTTTTTGTTAGGCCAACAAAGATGTTGTTGCATTCCTGACGCAAAAGCGCGCGCGTCAGGTTCAGGGTATGTGTGCTTGGGAAAAGCGGCGAGTTGCGTGCGTGTGGCTCAGCATATTGTTTAATTGCGTGCGCATTCCATCAATCACCCTGTATGTGCGCTCCGCTGGACACATTCGGGCTGTCGGGCGGCGCTTTTTGAGCCGGAGCGGCGCTTTTCTCATTTGACTCTCGACTCATCTCATCGGCTCGCAGGTCAGTTATTATTACATTTCGGAGGGATGACCTGCGAGAAAGAAAAACCAACACCGCCGCCTGTGAGAACAGGAAAAAAATATAAATGCTCTTGAAATCATGTGAGAGCCACACACAGCATATTATATAAAACTCAAGGAGGTCGTGATGGATTACTTGCACTTAAAAATGACAAAGTGAAAATGTTTATTGCTGAGGAATTTTAATGGAAAATGCCTCCCTCCCTCTCTCTGGTGCGCGTTTGTTCTCGCGCTCTTTTTATCTTAAGCCGATGAACTATATATTAAAAAGAATGAAGTGGTTCGTCTGGAATGGCTACTTTGCATACGGCGTGACATTTCAAAAGTACATAACCAGCAAGAGCGCTTTATTTTACTTTATCTCGCCGTCGTGCAACCTGCTTATTTTTATTTATTTCGTCCCGCGCGTCTCTTTTTCTTCGCTCGAGCCGCGGCAGTTTCTCTTGATATACCTGCTCGCCGCTTACAGAGTATTGTCTTTCAACATTATTGCATGCAGATTAGATCGGTCTTCCGATTAATTGCAAATTTCTTATTAAGGGTGTGTACCGCGTACCAAGCACTTTTGATAATTAATTATGCGAACCCACCGCATTGATTAGAAAATTTCACACAGAGATGCATGCGATTTGCTTGTAAATTTGATAGATTCATTTCGTTAATTTAATCAACAAAAGTAACAAATAATTTTGAGTAAAATTTAAAATATAAAAATGTTTAATAAAATTCTTACCTTCAAAGATTTGTTTAATTTTTATTAGGTACTTTGAAATTATTTTCTATTAAAATTTAAAAAAAAAACATCAAGTCAAAAGTGCGTGGAAATTTAAAAATTTACAATGGATTCACAGAAATAAAATGACCGATAATATTAATAATTAATTAAGTAATATTTGACTTCTTCCATTATTTGCCAAGGTTACTTTTTGTCACTTTTTAAGCATAATTATCTATAATTAATGTTTTATTTGTTCAAATTGCGCAATTATAATTAAAGCAAATTGTTTTTAATTCATGCATTGCATCAAACTGATATATAAATTAATCAGCTTTGAATAAAAGAAATTTTCTATTATTTAGAAAAATTGCTAATATTATTCTATTAATAATTCATTTAATTTCAAAAAATTTCTTTTCATTTTGGTAAAAAACTAGGGCTGGCTGCCAATTCTCTCTTCAATGTAATTTTTCCCCCAAAATAATATTTGACCTGTTGTAAGAGAATAAACGAATTGAATTGAATTGTAAATCTCCTTGATCGCATTCGTCACAGACAAAAAAGGGTCTTCATAGCAATAACACTTCAATTAAAAGAACTTGGTGGATTTGCAAAATTCCAAGGCTTTCTTGCAGATCGTCTCTGTTGCGTCGGGAAAATCATCAAGAGGCTGATTTATCAAGTTGAAAATATGTTCTAAAAATAACCTGCGGCCTCGCCTTATTTGATGAATTTAAGTTGATTTATCGGTTTCCTGCACCATCAGAGGCATCAAGATTTTGCTCGGCACTTTGCGAGTGGCCGTCAGCGATAGGTGCGAATATCGAGAAATATGCAAAGGAATTATGCGAAGTGTGAGATGGCGTCGCCTTGGCTAAAAGTGTTTTTTTGGCCTTGATGACGGCTGAAACTTTATTCTTGCTGCTTATTATACACGTATTAATATGCGAGAACGCCGGGTAGAGAGTCGAGCGGTGTTTGGTGGGGCTGGACCACTCTGATCAAGGTAATTAAATATTTTATCTCGCAGCACCAACAACATCTATACCTGCTGTGGGCACCTATTTATGCAAAAGTAGTGTGTTGTCAGCGAGCAGTACAAATACCACAGCCGTGAATTAATAACTTGAAATTTTACTAAATAAAATAATTACAAATTATTCCATGAAAATAAACTTTCTCAATGAAATATTGTTGAAATTTACTGAAGTAAAATATTAAAAAAAAAGTTGCGGCACAGAAGAAAGATTAAAGAAAGCTGGAAAAGGTACGATTTGTGTGTCAATCCGTTAACAGGCAAAGGAACACCTGTTGTCAGACGTGTGAATAATTAAAAAGCCATGAAAATATTTCAAGTATTTGCTGCGCGCAGTGATTGGTTTGAGGCTGTGCCGTGGCTGGGAGCGGCAGAAGCAGCAGCAGCCTGGCCTTGAGTGGAGGAAGAGGCCAAGAGGTCACCGTCAGCACCTGGCCCCACGTATGCAAAGAATTGTACACCTGCCGTGCCAGCCAGGTATGAACCCAGAACCGCGGCGCGCATTACAACACTCGCACTCGGCACTGCGCAATTACCACCTCGGTCGGTCTGACTTCACCGTTGAGCAAACATTCCTCGGCCAATGAAATGAAATTTTTACTCTTCTCGACATTCTCGCCTTTCCTCGGCTCTGCCTCAAGCCGGGAAAATTTCTTCGCAAATATACGCGCTCCTCACCTACTTCATGCAAGTTGAAAGTTCACGCATAATAAAGAGCAAAACAATTACGCACAAATCCCCGCCGGCGCCGATCATTCCACTTTCAAGGGGAGCTTAATATTATTTTAAACTTGGATTTCAAAATATTCTTCACTTCTTTCAAAGTTTAATTAAACGTGTCATTTTGTTAAAAAACATTATAATTTGAACTTCCAAAGAAGAGAATTAAAAAGTATTTTACGTTACAAAAGGAATACTTTTCATTTCAATATTTGTGCTCATGTGTGTTCACTTCATAAAACAACTAATGAACATTATAAACTTTGACATTTAAATTTGTATATATTATTTATTTTAAGAAGCCTATCATTAGAATAACAGAATATAATCGGCCACAATGCAGAAGTGGCAGGTGGACAAATGACAATAAAGCTGAAGATTTTGGTGACTTATAATCGGAATGAACAATGTGCTGGTAATCAGTGGATCTCTTGTCCTAGGAGAGAAAGCTGGAATTTTATTTTAGCTTGTTAGTGATCGATAATTGAAAAACAAAATAGCAGGCTTACCTGTTTGAGGAATTGTTTGGCATTGTTGAGGGACGTGGAGCCATAAATTACCCTCTTGCTCCCCTGCACTCCTTTGCTCTGCAGAACGAGATTTAATAAATAATTAAGAAAAAAATTAATTATCTCCTACCTTGGCGTAATCGACCAAATTTTGGTACTCTATGTAATTTCCACCACCGACGACAAAAACGATTGCGTCGTGGAAGGGAGCTCGGTTTTTAGGGGGTTGCGATCCATCCACTTGTCTAAGCTGTTTCGGGTCAAAATGTCGGTAGTCTTCGGTTTCTGGAGAACTTTTAAGCTCCATCAGCTCGTCGACAATCCGTGTGACTGGCAAATTCTACGCAGAGCATTATTTGAGACTTTCATTAAATAATACGATTGGGAAAACTCACATGCTTTTTAACAACCAAATTTTTTACTCCTTCCATTACGAAAGCTGAGCCTTGAGAGACGAGTTTCGAGAACATGCTGACGGTTTTGGTTCCACTGCCCAAATACTGGCTAGATGTGCTGCTGGTCATTTTTGTGTATTGTCTGAAAAATAAAATATGGTTTAATTTTCATAATTTAAAAATCCTGGCAAATTCATACTTCCAGCGTCGAATGTAAGTCAGAGGAGACAAATCACAGCCAGCATTCTGCAGAGCTGCAGAAAACCGATCCAACTCAACCTGAGTTTACGGCAATGAATTAATTTTGTCGCAATTCCCACAAACAAAATTTTACCTCCGACATAGTTTGAGAACAAATGTAGTAAATAATAAACAGTCTCATTTTGTCCTCGGGAGTGCTGGAATCATTGTCCGTAATAATCTCCATGAGCCCTTTGTCCAGAGTGACTTTCCCCATAACCTTTTCCTCCACTTCGAAGAACGAGTCCAGCTTTCTGCTCTTAATGTGATTGAGAATGGCTGCAAAGAGGCAAGTTATTGACGCAGCCTCTTAAAATTGCAAAATGCTCTTACCTGTTGCAATGGTTGTGTGCATGTCAATGAGTCGTTTCTTTTCGAGTAACTGCGGCAAAGTATTGACAGCACTTGTCAGCCTTGCTGTGTTGTCAGACATCATGATTGCAGCATCACTGTCGTTATCCAGACCCTTCAATTGACGCGTTTAGTTAAAAATTTGAATCAAATTTATTATTTTAACTACCATTGAAGCTTTCAGCTTCTTGACCTCTTCTTCGGACGACTTGTACTCTTCTAGCTCCTCCTGAATCGCTTCGACCACAGTCAGAAAAGGGCTAGTGATGAAAATTTAAATTTTTTGTTAACTTTTTGTGAAAATTATTCACCTGCCCTTGTGACTTATCCAAAATTTGTCGCTGGCGTCCAGATCGCAAGCTCTGGTTTTGACTTTTGTTCCTCCACTGGGAGATCTGCCTGCGTTTTCCTCGACCACCACTCTGTTCAACGAAAGGTCCAGAACATCATGGGCAAGGGCTTGGTACGTCCAGGTGTGGTGCAGGGGAGTAGCCATGTCCACATTTCTGTCCAATACTATCAACAACGGCCTCTGGTAGCTGAAAATAATAGAAAATTTTAAATTCTCAAACACCAAATTTTGTCTAAAAATTATTTCTGAATGGCGTTTTTATAAACCTGTAATGAGACGCCTGTCCAGCCTCCATCATGAACAAGTTGTTTCTCGTGTCGCGCAAATTTTCCCTCAGCTTTTTGTCCAGTTTTTCGGCAACCATCTCGGCTGCATTTCCCCTCGGACTTCTGATGATAGGCACTGCCCCTAAAGTGGCGAACACGCAGAACAAACTGTCCACAATGTTGTCCATGATGGCCTCCATATCCGAGTCCTTCATGTCTCCCTTGTTGATTGCTGGACAATTGAATTTAATTAATACGTTTTGCCGAAATGAAGATATTTTCCGCATCTTACAGTAATAGGAAATGGCATCACTGTTTTGGTGCTTCAAAATGAACAGGTCCTCCTCAAGGGAGATGAAGTTTAGATACTGGTCAAAAACCTAAATCGAAAATATTAGATAGAGGAAATTTAAAAAAAAATCCACTCTCACTTTCTGAACACTAGAAACGCAGTTCGAGTGCAGGGCGGCGGCGGCGAGATCTTCCAGCCTTTGCCGAGAAATTGGGGAGATGAAATTCAGGTGATAAGAATCGTACAGTCCGTTCTGCAAATCTTGACCAATCCGACCAAGGTTCTCTTCGGAGGGCATGCAAAAGTACACAGCTGGGACGTCAGGAATGGGGTCTCGGTCCGAATGCAGTTGCCTGCCAAAAACATTAATAAATTTTTTAATCCGATTTTATGTTGGTTTTAAAATTTTCTTACACGTGCAGAGTGACACCGAGTTCTCTCAACTCTCTGACAGAAATGAGCGGCGAAATAATGTCCTGGCCGAACCTGTCGTAAATCAAAACCTTCCACGTCGGCTCGTTCACCGTCGATTTGGACATGGGCAGGTTGAGGTTCAGCATTTGCCTCAAAGTGGCTGTAAATATTCATATTTAATTTTAGGTTTGAAATTTTAGATGAGAATCTTTAGTAATGTCAAAACAAAAATCAACGCCAAATTAAAAATTGGCGAGACTCAAAATGTTTTGCTGAAAAAATTTAATTCCAGCGCTGGTAAAGATTCAATTCATAGATAATTAATATTGAGATTACCTAATTGTTTTTCTCTGATATTGGCCATTCCGAGATCGAAAGGCAGAATTCGGAAGGGCGAAAATTTGTTTTTGTTAGCAAGATACGTGGACTTCTTTTCAAAACAAGAAACAGATGAGTCGTGACATGTCTGCTGCCGGCAAAGTGAACTGCCGCGTCATCTGCCGCTTTTTTTTAGAACCTCGGTGCTCTGTGATGTGGGGCGACTAAAAATATTATTCACGTGTGCTGTGGCTAAATGAGGAATTATTATAATATTTTACTACATAGATGTATGAACAAATTTTATTGATAATTTTATCAAATGAATAAATGTGTATCCTTACACATTGACCCTTCAACAAGCAACAACTTATAATAATAATAATAATTAATTAATTAATATCACAAGTTTTGCCTTTTTGAATAAGGTCAGAATATTTTTCAAATTTAATGAAAATTATTAATTATCTGTACCATTTAAACCGCGGTAAGAGTTTTTCAATTTAAAAATGAAGAAAATTAATGCTACAAAATTATTTTCCTTTAAATAAAAATTAATTTAAAGATTTTCCAAATTGTTGTTACTTTGCATGTGTGTTTCTGTGCTTATTGGTGTAGAGTACGTAGTGTCTTTATTAAAAAAATTTTTATGCAATTTTTTTATGATTAAAAAACAAAACCAATTTTCAACTCTTAAATGTATATTTTTCTGAAAATTTTAGTGCAGTAAATATATATAAATGCTATTTTTTGACTGACATGTTGATGGTCGCTTGCACTTGATTTAAAATTTTATCAACGAGGGTCAAAAGCGACCGGGTTTTCCACTGCTGTCTTGTCGAACCTGATTATGCTGCAATTAATTGATAACTTGGGGAAATTCTGGGACTTCATTAAAAACACCATAGCTCTCTGCCTTGGACGACTTTTTCAGTATTTGTAAGTCAGTCAGCATATATGGGAAAACAACGCGCGGACAAAACAGTTAAGGTCGAGCAATGCACAATAATTTTATTATCAGCAGTTTCTCCAGCAAGCACATGTGGCGCGCCGGGAATCCCTTTTTGCTGCGAGGCTCGCTCGATTCGAAGGATCCCCACGCGCGCAGCCTTGCTTGCGTTGACTTTTTCGCCAGGCCCTTTATGTATATTCAAGTAAGGGCAGCTATGTTGGTGTTATGTATTCAGCCAGCATATTATGCAGCACTTCCGAAGCAAAAAATATATCGCCCGTGGGTGGACATGGTGGCCTTGTGAAATCCTTTTAAGATGCTCAATTGACAAAAATATATTGAAAATCACGCACATCTTCACATTTTTTTTTTTTTTTTTTTGTATTGGCAAAGAACCTATAGTTGTATAGGTTGTCCCTAGTTGTGGGGAAAACAATGAACCTTTAGCTATAATTATTCAGAAAAAATTACCTTTTATACGATCAAAATAAAAATCACCAAAATCCATATAATATATATTTGATGAAAAGTCACCGATTTCAACAATATTTTTTCACCCTCTTTTGAACCATAAAATTTATTCTATTTCCGCAGAATTATGCCCTTAAAAATCTCACCTTGAAACAGTCCTAAAGCATTAACATTTTTTTTTTCAAAATTATTCACCCATAATTGTCTTTTTTCACTTAAAATCCCCTATCTAAGTTAAAAAATCTTTTAAATACGCCCTTACTTTGCAAAATTAATTAAAAATTGAATGTATTTTTTAACGAGGACAAATAAACAACAATAATAATTCATTTTCCTAGCCGGAAGTTGTCCCACATCTCACACACTAAACTATTTGTTAAAATTAGTTTTGCTCTTTTTCCTCATTTGCATTTCCTTTAATGGAGATAGGAAAATTAGTACATGAAAAAAGCAGCGATTCGCCGAAGCACTAATCGCGAGGAAATTTTTTTTCATCAGTTCTTGATTGTAACGCGGCTTTTTCGTCCGAATATTCTTCTACATTTTCCTCGTGTGCAAGTTGCGTGCTAAAAATGATAACGCCAGTTGCGCAATTCTTACTTATTCCCAAACACAATTTTCCTCGCTTGTTATAAATGGCAAAATTTGTCTACAACGCACTATTAAGTCGATAATCAATTTAAATAATTGATGGAACGTGAATCTGGCGTGGTTTGTATATCTTTTGGCTTTGAATCATGAAGGCCACAAGAGTCAATCAAAACTTAAATGTAACATATAATTAAATATTTAAATTGATGATTGGTTTTACTAAAACTGTGAGAAAAGCTATAAGGGTATAGGCTTGAAATAATAGAATTTTTACTATAAATTTGACTATTAATTAAGAAATTAGTTTTTATTTATCCGAAAAAATTTGTTTCTGTTTTTTAAAAACTTGAAAACAGTTAAAACCCTGAAATTAAGGCAAAGTTAAGTATAAAAACACCTTTAAAGCATTATTTATTAAGCAAACCAGAAGGATGATTTAAGTTACTTTTGATTTTTTAGAGCATAAAATTTTTCCAACAATTTCATGGTTTGTTCTCCAAAATCTAATTTATTACAGAATCATCGGCATAGTAAATTGAACTTAAGATCTTTACTATAAAATAAAAGTAAGATGTTAAGAAGTTTTATAATTAAGACTGTGCGAGAAAAACAATGGAATACATACCAAACAAAAATTAATCCTCTCTTAAATATTAAACCCTGAAACTGGTTTACACTTAACAACACAAACAAAGACACTAATAATAACAGAAACACACTCGCACATGAACAAAAATTTAAAGGGAAATAAGTCGGTTTAAAAATATTAGCATTTGTAATTTATTCCAGGAAAGACACAGTCTCTGAAGGCATCCGCAAATATTATACATACCTTGGTTCAAAGTTTCTGTGCTAATTGAAACTGTGAATTACGCATTTCGCAACAAATTAACCTCATGAAACATTCTATTAGCACATCATGTGGCAAATATTGTCAACTTTTCTCGGTGGAAAGTGCACTAATTGGTCCTACGCAAGGGATTCCCCTTGACAATCACCGTGCGTGGACGACGAAAGTTAATTTGAATAATTGTAAAGATCATCCAAGGCGAAGTGCGATTTGTGTCTGGGGAGAGAGGAAGACGGCGGCTGACTTGCGAGAGAGCAAAATATGCCCACATGACTTAGGACTTTCACCTCTCTGCGCTACCGAGACTTGAGCATTTTATTTATTATATTATTATGTGGTGCGCCGCGCACAGTGCATTAATTTCTCTTTCACCCGAGCACGCATGTCATCGGGAATTTTTTGCCTGTGTTTACGTGACGTGGATGACTTCAGCAGTTGCATAGTCATTGGAACATCATCATTATGATTTTCTCTCCGCGGGCTGCAGTGAACCCAATTTGCTTTGGTTTTAGCACTTCTTCTTTCCTATGATTGATTTTGAAGAGCGTTTTTCCCCGCGCAAAAGGAAGAAGTTTGTACTATGCGGAAATTCAGCAGAAATTAGCACAAATTGTGTGCGTGTGGCCTTTCGCACAAGAGTGTAATGGCCCACGCGTTTAATCTGGGATTTTACCCCCGAAGTGATTCCATGCAAGCAAAATTTTTTGCTGATGCAGCGGGATTCCTATTTTTTTTTTTTAGCTTCCAGGACCCTTTTCTATAATTTAGTTCTGGTAATTTGGTCATGAAGTGTCAGGGATGATATTTTTTTCCGATATTTTGTTTTGGCGCAGGAAACGCCGAAACGTTGAATTTGTATAGAAACTAGAAACACGAGGTTTCATTGTTCTTCACCGAGCGAAAATTTACTGCAATCTTCTATAAGTTGCTACTAAGTTGTAATTTAATGAAAATCGTGATTTTGTTAAATTAAAGTGCAAAAAAAAATCATAATTATTCATTAATAAATACACTTTAAAACTAAAGGTATGACATAAATATTTATAGATAACTATAAAATTAGGAGAGAGTGCTGTGCTCATGCTCAGTACTGCTTTAGGAAGCTTTTTGCTTGGAAAAAGCTATATTTTTCTTTGTACCTAATTAATAAAAAATAATTAAATATAATTCATAAATTATATGACAATGAATCTCAGTAATTTTTCAGTTTAATTAACAGACTAATTTCAAGTACTTCTTCATTTTTTTTTCATTAAAAGGATGTTTTGATAGATGTATGAGTTTTTAAATGACTGAAGAATAACAATAAAAAAATGGCATAAAATTTGGTCTGATGTGACTGTAATTTTTTTTCTTTATTCAAATTGATTTTGTTACCACAAAAATTTAAATAACAAAACGAAACTTGATAATGTTGATTTTATTCTTTAAACTTAAATTGCTACGCATTTTTTGTGCAATTTACTCCCGATGATTGAAACTTAAAAAATAAGTTCCTTTTCAGCTTGCAAAATCTGCATTTTGTGCTGATTTTTTTTAAGAAGCATTTTTGACGTTTTTAAAAGAAAACTAATTTCATTGAAAATATGTTGACTCATACTCGCAATTTTATCTTCTGCCGGTGAGGGACGAGAAAAAAATTTAACAAAGCCGCATTCAAAAAAGGAGTTGCAAGAAGCGATTAGGCGTAAGAATTTTCCAAAGGAGTGTGTCTGCTGTGCGTGTTGCCAACTCACGCGGCTCTTGGCAAATGATGCAAATTCAAGTGCTCGTCGCAAGGTAATGTGCTTGCATTATGACGTTGCACGTTGAATGAATGCTCGCTTACATATCAACAGTTTATTCGTGCGGCGCTCAGGAATTCCCTAATCGCCGAACCACAATAAACAGAGATGCCATTTATTTTCACTTCTCACTCGCATACAAAATCACAAAATCAGCGCAACACTATACATTGTATTCACAATCGAGAAATTAGTATTTTATTTAAGCAATCTTTATATTTCTATTGATTTACAATTTGGATACATGTTGGGGAAATGAATTTTTTTCATTTTGTTACTATTAGTTTATTCTAGACAGCTCTAGATCATCCTTAATGAAAAGCAAGTTGAAAATGATGCATATTTTTAATGAAAGACTTGAAATTGCAAGGTCATTCAAGGAAACTTAAAAAAATTACCTTGTAATCATCACTTAAGCGACTGGCTTCGTAAATTAGCTAACAAGAAAACCTGATTTTGGAAGTCGTCCAAATGGGTGATGTGGAGCACCGGTTGCAAAAGGCGCTTGGGGTGCTAAAAATTCCAAGACTTAATTAATTGGACAAAATTTTCACTTTACAAATTTTCCTTGATATTTCACTTTCAATAAAGCTTCAAATATTTATAAGCCTTTTTTTAAAATTTCAACTTTTTTCATATATATATTTAAAATTACAATAAGATTTGAATACGAAAAAATATCTTTACTCTCAAATTTTACACATGGGAAAATAAATAAAGAAGTTTTATTATAGTTGTTTGTATTTGTAATATTTTGTATTGCGAGAAGTAATAAAGCAAGCTACTCAAAGTACTCAAACTTACTGTTAATCACATCATCAAACTGCTTGTGGCTTTTTCCTCTCAATGATGCAGCCACCTGCAAGAGTTTGCGTTGTTTTCAGCACGTAGGCATAACAAGACCAGACGGACAAAAAACACCTAACCTGTGACAAGACTCGAATCGGTCACGAGCAAAACTGATCTACAATTTGTCATAATCACTGAAATAGTTATTTTAATCATACATTTCGATTAGCTATTAACCTCAACAAATTTCTCATTAAGTATTTTGTTGCTCTTTACCCACGTTGCTATGCAGTTCTACCATTAGATTATCATTTAAGATTGCACTTTGGTTTTGAAAAAAAGCTTGAAAAAGAGATTGTGTAATGTACAAACAGCAGCACCGATAATCATTTTGTGGCTGAAGTGTCACCGATGACAATTAGATAACTTAATTCAGAATTAAAATTAATAAAATGCATATAAGAATAAGAAAAGAAAAAGGCCGCACATAATTTACTGAGCTAAAATTTTTAACTTCATGATTTTTAATAAATTTCGACGCCCAAATTTTATATCTTGAACGTGTTCTGAGAAGATTATTGAACTTTTCCCTCATTTCCTTCGTATTTATCAACGAACAAGGTAAAAAGGTCTTTGTATTCTCATATAAGGTCACATTTTATGCGGCGGGGATTCCCAACAATCTGCGCGTGACTCCGGCCGGCAGCAGGGTAAATATATTCGCCGGCGCCCAAAATAGACGCGGGCAACCCCCCGTTTAGAGAGAAAAGTGCGCCGACGAAATATTTTCGCTGCATTTTTTGCGGCGCGCGTTCCGGCCCTCCAAAAATAGGCCACAGGGAAATTAGCATCTTAAGAGGAAAGAAACAAACCGAAATAAATGACTTAACTCTCATTTAAGCGGCGGGGGAGGCGCGAGAGAAATGGGACTATTTTTCGGCTCCGGCGGCGCTCGCAATTCACGGGAAATTTTGTTTGCTTATTGAGCGCTTCGAGCATGCTGCCGGCATATGTGCGCCTCCGATCAAACATAATTTCCTTCGGGAATACCGCAACAATTCAGCGAATCCAGCAGCAAACTAGAGACTTCTTGCTTCTCTCGTTATACGGGTTCAGCAGAAAAACCCAAACAGTCGAAAGTGCAAAAAATGCGAGCCTGAAGCGTGATTGAATTGAAACGAAAATATACTCGTTGATAAAATAAAAACACTTCTATTGGGAGGAAAGTACAAGTGATTCTAAAAGAAGCTAGATCAAAGTATAAAATTATTTCATTCATTCTTGATAAGCACATTTGAGGTGCGTGAAAAACACTCAATAAAGTAATGAGATTACTATTGGGCTTTTTAATTACCACAGAAACACTTCAACTTTGGACCGCTATAATTTTTGAAGGATTCCTCCAAATGATATGCATTTTGGTCGAACGCTTCCGTTGTTGATTGCAAATCACGTTGCCAGTGGACGACTTTGTCTGTGAGATACATTAAAATTCTCAGCAGAGCGATAAAATGCCAAAAGCAGTTATCTGTATGGTCACCTTGATAAAAGGTTTAGGTTCCAACTGGCCATTGACGTAAGCAAATTTTTTTTGCAATAATTGGGAAACACATGGCGAGATAGCTAGCCGATGGCGTGTGTAGACGCCGAGCCTCTAGAATTGGGTCTTGGTTAGAAACAGAAATTCCCCAGAGTTCATCTCGGAATTCTATCGGCAAAAATAGAGCTGAGAACGTGTGAAGAACACAGTCAGAGTTTAAACTAAATCTTTTGTTAAAAGAACACAAAATTAATGGAAGTTTCCCTTGAAATGGGAAAAAATTGCATTGAGATTTATTTGTGAGATAAATAGGGCAGGTCGGCAATACGTGTAATTTGAACATAATTATTTAAATTTGAAAAGGACCTTTTTTGGCAGTTCAAAATAATAGTTTTGATACAATCATAATTTACAAATTCTCATAATAATGGTGCTATTATATTATTTTGAAACCATGAAAGTTATCAGCAACAAACTTATTTGTTCTTGACGAAAAGAAAAGAGCGAGACTATACTTTTTTGAATAAAACTTAAATTGCGTTATAAAGATTATAAAAAATAATACCCGTATTATATTCTAGATAATGAGACAGGAGGAATAAATGAAAGGAAAAATTGTAATTTTACTTATTACATAAAATATTGCTCCCTTATAAAAAAGGAAATGAAATTTATCAGGATCACTCCATGATTTTAATTTTTTATTTGAAATATTTTCAAGATTTTCATGTTACTTATCGTGCATGATTGCAGAGTTATTATTTATTTTAAATAAGCAGCAGATGAGCAGCATAGCCATAAAAAAATAATAATAATACAAATTTAAATAAATAAAATTGATTGTAATTGGAATTTTGCAGTAGATTGTAAGAACTGTGAAGTTTAATTTTTTCATATCATGAAAAAAATTGCATGTTTGTTTTGTGGTTCACTCTCATAGCAACGGTCCATCAATATCAAATGATGAAATGATAGATTTGTTATTTAATTCTTCTATCAGAAAAATTAATTCAGATCAAGGAGAGTTAGTCTTGGTCTATCGTATTTATATTTTCAATTGCCTTATCTTCAAGTGTAAATATTTTTAAAATAGGCAACAATTATCTTTATATTTATGTCAGTCCGTCTGCAGTGGTCCTCTCTCAAGTTCAAGGAATGCCATCGTCGAATCCTTCCGCGTTCTGATGCAGCCAACGCCATCAGGCAAACCAACAAACAGAACAAGGAAAACAAACGCAAATTGCCCCCTATGACGATTTCCAACGTTTTCAAAGAATGTCTGTGCAAAAATCCCTTACTCGACAGAACTCGTGGATCGAAACTAATTCCACGAGTGCAGTGAAAGTCAATTAAAAGTTACATGTTAATGTGGCGCGTAATAACAAGCAGCCGCTAACGAACGGGTGGAAAATTGCCATAGAAGGCGCCGCTTGCGAATTGCTGGTCGATCGGCTATTTTCACGTTCGGGATTCCCGCAGACAAACAACACCTCTCTGCGCACTCATTAAAAGCGGCGTTTGGCTATTTCGGCCGCCGCGGCAAGGCCAGTTCATCGCACAAGTACTTTGCGTTTTTTTCGCGGTTGCGCCGCCGATGAGTGTATAGGTCGCGGCTCGCCCGCCGATCGAATTAGCTCACGCCAGGTTAAATTTAGGGACCGTTCCGAAGGGTGGGTAGGGGAATTTCGCCGAGTATTTCTGGCCAAGCTACCCCACAAATAACCAGGCACACTCATCGCCTTGGACTCTTGGCGATCGCCACCGTCTTCACAAATATATTGCATCTCTTACTCTTTCGCGCGCGCTCACCGCACCGACCATCGCGCACAACCCTTTCTTATTATTATTTTTTTTCAAAAGATATTTTGATTGATTTTGCTTCCTTTGGAATATCCTTTGGAGAAATCCCGCAGGAAAGTGAAGCATGGATGGCGATTTTGATTATTTATTCCATGACGTGGGTTAAAAAGTGATTATTCTTAATCTTATTCATTGCCTTTTTCCTTGCTTAACCGACTCAACAAATGACGTTCAAAGGCACTGAACAAATTTTTTTAATTTTAAACACAGTACGGTACTATGTAATTTTATAAATCTATTTATTTATTTTGAACTAAACTTTTCTGCAAAATAATAAATTATTGCACAAAATGTAGCTTAAATTAAATATTTCAATTTTACATAAAAGATGCGCCTATATCTGTGGCCCTAAACATAATTTAACTATTAATTAATTAAATTAACCTGTTTTCATTCAACTTTTAAACAATTTTTTTATCTAATTATAATATAATCAAACAATTCTTTTTAACTTTTTGAAAGTCTAATTAAATCAGTAAAGATTTATTTTATTTCATTTCACTTCATAAAAAAAACCATTTGGTACTGATGTCGCAATCAGGTCAAAAGATGTCAATATGAAAAATAAAATAGAAGGGTTTCTAAAAACGTAAGCAAAATTCAATTCATTTGTTTCTTATTTTACAGTGTTGTATATTGATTGTTTTTTCTCTCTTAAATTGATAAAATAGTTAATATTGAATATGAATAGTGGATTATTTGGGCAGAGAATAAAAAAAAAAAATATAATAATAAAAAAATTAAATTATTTTTTTCATCACTTCTTATTATAAGAATTGAAGGCAAACTATTATTATAATAAAGCCACCATCCCAAAATCAAAATAATCTTAGTGTTTATGGATTATGGCACGAATTTGCCGTGTAATTGGTAATTGCGCCCTTTTAATGGCGTTGCATCAACGTGACGACGTCCGAGGCGTCGATCAAGACGCGCGCGGACAGTCTCAGCTCCATATACGGCCAGGCATCACGAAAGTGCCCCGTCGGCGGTGAGCACAGCATTTGGCATCTCGGCCAGACTCAAAATTAGCAGGGCCCAAGTGTGCGTCCGTCCGTTCGTCCGTCCGAGTGCCAGAGAGACTCAGCGAAAAGACACATGCTGTTGTTTAGTCACCGAGCGCGCGTTACTTTGTTATTGTTTCATCCTTGCCTCTTCCGTTGCGCGCTTCAATTGTCATTCTCATGTTGGAGGAAACCAGACGAATAAACTGGCCCAAGTCGTCACAAATTTTTTAAATAAACATCTCAAACTATTATTTTTATACAAGTTTTTTTTTTAATTTGATAAATGCTATTTTTAATAAGCATAACATTGAGAGAATTTTTTTTATATTGACAACAAGTTCTACAAATACATTTTATTTAAGCACTTGTGTTCCTGCTTTTATTTTTTTTGTTTAAACCAAACTTTATTTATAACATAAGTATGAACCAAATCACACAAGATAAATTATGTCTGTTGATGCTTGGGGCGGATGCTGAATTCTTTAGTTAAATATCTCCTGTCGGTTATATGGTTAGTTAGGGTGACCACATATTTTTTTTTTTTTTTTTTTATCAAATTACTAGTTTTAATTGCGTTCTGGGTTTTGTCGAAGAGTGGTTGCTCGAGAGAGAGGCCACGGTCGAGTAAATGGCTCTGATTTTTGCTGGCAAAACCCGGCGGTCGATGCCGCCGGGATATTATGCTAAGGGGGCCTGAGCATCGAAGCTCTCCAGAATATTTGGTGTTGTATCGGCTGGGCTGGCAATGCAATGAAAGGCAGAGCGAGCTGGGGAAGCCCTGAATGTAGCCAGCAAGTGGGTGGGGATTCCCACAGAGCGGCAGTCATGCAGCTCAGCAAAACAGCGGAGAAATCTATCCTGGCCAAGAGATTTGTTAAGTGCATAGAGGAAGAAGCTGCTATCTTTTGTTGTTTTAGAAAACGTAGGAAATCAAACGAACGCATATTTTCTGTGAATGGAGCAACACATTCGATTATTTTTCTTTAATTCATAACTTCTGCGAGTGTGTGTGTCATGGTTTACATAATATTATGCTATAACAGAGACGAAAACAAGGTAATATTTTACAAGAGAAATTATATAATTTTTAAAAGTACAAGAAGTTCGTTCACGCCCTCCGGTTCCTCTCTTGCCAACACTCGGAAATCGGAGACACGCGAAGTTCGTTCCGAGTCAGTTTGAAAAGTTTCCGCGCCGTCACACTCACTGCATGTTGCGATCAATTATGTGGTACACAGTCTTTTTACTTAGTAATGGCCAGTGTATCTTACTGTTCAATTTACATAAAATATTTTGGTCACTGTATCACTTCATCAGCGATGCATTTATCTCCCCTTAAAACTAAACTGTCCTCTTCCTAATCAATTGTGACCCTATTACTTTTGCCCGAAATCACTTTGTTCGTCCTCCAAGTTAGGCGCTCATGATTGGACGACTTGAGGTTAGGAAGTTGTTGAACCCTCCGAAGAACCCCTCAACAGGTTGCTGACCCAGAATCTGTCGAGATCAACACAGAAAAATAACACTTTTAGATGGCATATCGTGAATGAACATGGTATTTTAAAAATTAAATATTTTTTTTTTGTGGGCCAAAATTTACAAGAAAATAATGTTACAGAGCTGAAAATGAATTTCGCCAGTGCGAAAACCGGTTTTTTCAATGCTATCAAGTAAGTGCAAGTGTACTGAACCCACACTGGACGTTGACTTGCCCTTAAGAGGGAAGAAATCAGAGAACCGCGGGGAATTCCCAAGCAAGTTGGTTTCAAGCAAAATTGAGTAACCTTGAGATAACGAATTGATACAGGGAAAGCCCTGCTCTATTGGTGAAATGGATTAAAAATGGCTTACCATGTCATCGTCCGAGTCGGACTCGTCGTCAACGGGCAGGGCGCTGGCGAAGCCCCTTTTGGAGAGCTCGGCGGCCAGGCTCCGGTCGGCGTACAGGGCCAGTTGGTAGGCCGTGTACCCCGAGTAGGTTTCCAGGGAACAGTCGACCAGCTGACTGCAGTTGTGGTCCTTCAAAATCGCCTCCCACACGTTCCGTTTGCTGCGCTCGGCCGCTATGTGCAAAGGTGTCCGCCCACATTTCAGTTCCTGTTGGAATAAAAAAAAGGGTTGTGTTAGCAAATTTTCAAGAAAATTCTGAAGTAAAAGGGAATTTTTTTATTAGCAAATTTTTAATTTTGTTCTTTTAGTTAATTATTTTATTATAGTTTATGTTCAGTTGATAAAATAAGAGCACTTTTTTGTCTAGAAAGTGAAAGCAAACTTACTCTAGCATTGATGTTGGCCCCTGCCCACACGAGACGTCTCAATACATCTGCATGGTCGCCAGCGGCTGCCAAGTGAACACAGTGCTGACCTGCAAGCACACAAGTAGCCATCCTCGTTGTAATTAATGATGCTATCTGATGATTTACATGCGCGCGATGGAAAAAAAACAATCGTGGCGTAATTCAAGACGCGCAAAAAGCGGCGTGTATTAATAATAATCGCCGCGTCTGGTGCTGAATGAATGGTAGCTGCGAATTCCGCTCTAATTTTAGCGAAAGCGGCGCGGCTTAAAAATAGCCCGTCGACGCTAAAGGCAAAAAGGCCATCGTCGGCGAAGCGTATTTGTATTTATAGACTATCACATGTGCGTGCTGCCCTTCTTTTTGGACGGTCCAGCAAAAGAAAACTTGATATTCAAACGCGAATAATTCATGAAAAAAAAAATAGATTGAAGAAATCAAAGATAAAATTTAAGTCCGTTTCTTATCCATAAACAAATGACCTTTCGCAAGCGACTCTCTTATCGATTTTGAATGCATTCCAGAGCACGCATTTTTTTCCACCTACAGCGCGGTCACGCACGCGAGGCGCCTCCAATCAGTGGCCACATCGGTGAAATACCACAGCACACCGCAAGCAAAACGGAAACTTTACCGGGAAAATCCCGCAGGCAAATTTTTGTGAATTTGAAAAGGGACTTTCCTTGTCGCAGAGGTTGTTTGAACAAACAGAGTGGTTTCCACCGCCGCTGGAAATTCACTGCGTTATGTGCCACCCGCTCCGTGCTCATGAATAATTACAATAAAATAAAAATCAGCAGCGAATTTAATGTTTCTGGTGAAAAGAAAGAAAGAAAGAGCTGCTTCCTCCGCAGGAATCCCCAGCGTCGATTCTGACGGAGGAGCAACAACCTTATAACAGTAACGACGATAATAGGAACGAGAGAGATTTCTTTCCCGAACGCGCGTTGCTGCAGAGAGAGACGCGGGAATCCCTCAGCTATTTATCTGCATCGCGTAATTCGCACTTCTTACTAAGGAAGGTCGCGCACTTTCAATGACACAAATATTGATTCTGCATCAAGGTGCGTCGGTTTTTAATTGCTTGGAAAACGCCTCGTTTGTTATTTCAATTGACGAAAACAAATCAGAGAAATTCTGGGAATTTTTAAGCCGCAGGATTTGCATCGCCATACGCGTTCCGGGAAGAGGACCGATTATTTTCAAATTATGCGTCAGCACTCTGGTTTGACAGATGCCGCTGCCGCAGAGAGAGCACAGCAAGCAGTTTCCGGTTGTTATGTGCAATTTCAAGCCTATCAATTTTTGAGTTCTATTTAATACTGATTGCCGCGCCTGATGGAAATTCCTTTTTTACCAAACGAGAAACGCGTAGATTGATGCGACAAACAACATCACAAAGACACGTGCATCGGAGATTAATCATTATTTCGAATGCACAATTCTGATAAGAATTGCGAAACCTTTCACATTGATAAAGAAGAAGTCGAGAGGAAAATTGAGGACTTTCCTCATCATCTATCTATATATGTTGTGATTATTGCGTAGGTGAAATGAAAGGCTTCCGTCCCTATCTCGGCTTATTAGGAATTCCCTTCAGGGGCAAAACCCAAAAAACAAAATAACATTCGTGGAAAAATGGAAAATTAATTTGATTAAATTCACTAACCGTCATAATTTTGCTCCTCAAGCAACACTTGCTTCGAAATGTATCTTGGCGCGTTGAAGACAAGCCCCGAGGTGGACATTTCCTCCACAGTAATGGGCTGCAAAAGGGCGTGAACACATTTGGAGAAACCCTGCTCGCTGGCCAGGTGCAAGGCGGTGTTTCCGTTTCGGTCCCTCAAATTTGGAGAGGCCCCGGCAACCAAAAGGGCGCGAACGATTCGCTCTTGCTGCGTCAACACAGCTAAGTGAAGAGGTGTCTGTAGAAAAGAAAAAGGGAATATTTATTAAAAAATTAATAAATATTTCAGGGGAAATGCCTTACCTGGTGGTAGTTGTTTGGTATGTCCAGATATTGTGGATCTGGTGCCATCCGAATTAAGCTGTACACAGCTTCAATGAAGCCTTGAATGATGGCGATGTGCAAATTTCTGTGAACAAAACGAGAAATTTTTTAATTAAAATACATTTTAAACTTATATAAATAAATATTTAATTTATATTATTCCAAATTTTAAATTTAACTATTAATTTTTTTTAAATTATAAAATATTTTACGATAAACTTTTTATAAAATATTTATTTGAATAATAATTTTTATTTGTTAATTTTTTTTTTAATTTTTCCACATCAAAAATTTAATAAATTATTTAAATAAATAAACTCACGTGTCTCCATCCTCATCCTGGTCGAAGTAAAGATCGTCCAGACCCAAATTTCGGGGTTCAGGTAGAATTTCCTTCTGCGGCGACAGGGGCACCTTTTGGCACGACCCCGTTGGCGAGGACGGCGTGAAGGTGGTGCTGGTGGGCGACGGGGGCGCATTGAGGTCGTTGAGGTGCGACTTGAGGCTGAGCCCGCTGAAGTGGTCGTTGAGTCCCTCGTGGAGTCCGAGGCCGGAGTCCTGGTGGTCGTACCGCATGGAGGAGGCGCTGGACAACAAGTTCTCCTCGGACTCGTGGAAGGCCGAGTCCCTCTTGCCGCTGAGGCCCTGCTCAGACGTGAGCGACTGCTCAGAGGCCACCAGTCCTGAGTCCAGGTTGTCCTCGTCCTCGCATTTGGAAGACCAGTCTGAAAGCACACCACTGCCCGCGTCAGCACCTTGGGTCATCGCAGCGGCCGAATTGCTGCGCCACGACATTGCTGCTGCGATCGAGTTCACCGCGGTTGTGAATTTGCAAAGGGTAAAAGCTCGGGGTCTTCAGACGGAGGCACCGGACGCCATTCTAAGCCGCTCGCACTTATTGGTAAACTGAGTGAATGCTGCTGGCTGCGAGTGAGAGCGAGCGGGCGCTCCCCGTCGCGGCGGTGCTCTCGGGGAAACCCGCGAGAGGCGGAGTTTGGCGTCCAAAGTGGCTGCTCTGGGCCCGATCGGGGGCGCGCCACGACCCCGGGGTCGAGGGTGCGACGAGATTGCGGGGTTGAAGGCCGAAAGCGCGCTGCCCAGGTGGCTTTGGTTTGCCCTTTGTACGCGCACAGGTGCTCGGTACTTGGAGGCTCGCCGTATAATGGGAACGGGTTATACAATGACTGGTCACGTGACCCACGGAGGATCCCTCCCTACTCCATGTGGAGGCCGAGTGGAGATAAAAAAAAACATCTCGGGTGGCAAATTCAAAAGTTCCGAACTCGATCGCAGCGCTTCGTCATAACGAATTTTATTAAAAACGCAATTTAAATTTTAAATAAAATTTAGGGACTATTTCAGGCTCTTTGATTTTAAATTAGTCGTTCTTGGAATTTTTTTAAGCGAGATAAATTCTCATTTAAATATTCGTAAAAATAAGTTTTTTTCCTTCAAATTAAAAAAAAAATATGAATTTTAAATTTTATTCGGAAGTTTACCTCTGCACAGACTAGGCTGTCACTCATAGGTTTTTTAAATTTCCTACCGCCTTACTTCCCACGTTCCCAGAGGAAAATTTTGTACTAAAATATGACACAACGAAAATCCCACTTTAATGGCTGATATAATTTTCAAATTTCCACAGGATACAGAGTTTTTTAACTTTTGAACCTGTTTTTGAACCATATTTTTTTCCAGCAGATCGATTTTGTTTCGGAATAATTTAAAAAAAAAATTCAAGTCGGCATTATTATTTCTTTTATAGTGAATAGAAAATTTACCAGGATTCCCCTGTTTGAGAGCTGTCACTTGCGCTGATGTCATAATTTAAGTAGCGGCGGATGTACAGAATAAATCACAAAAGCGACCGGCCGCTGTGTGGAAAAGTCCCATCATAAATGAAAACAACGTTGCTGAAAAAGCGCACTGGCAGCATCCTTACATATACTGCAGTGCACATCGGGCGTTTGCCTTTTGGCACAGATAAATTACTCTCATCGACTATAATTGAGCAATTCAGAATTTACTGAAGAAAAATGAAAAGTATATTCCAACTTTGTATTTTGCAGTGTGCATAACATCGTAATGTATCATTCCAGCAACTCAGGTGGGAGATGAGGAAAAAGAGCAAAATTCCGAATTCGTCATTATGTTTGGGAAAAAGTTTCTTAAAGGAAAACGCGCGTCAAGCCCTATTTTAAAATCTATCTATCATGAAGATAAACATATTGTGTAGCAGGAAAAAGTTTTGGGAATTGATATTAAAAAAAAATTAAAAATAAAAGAAAATTTGCAAAAAAATCTCACCTTTTGTGGCGACCGTATCTATATGCTTTCTGCTGGCGCACACTTTCCAGCTTTTGGATGGCATTTGACCGGAGTTGTGGAAACTGCGACTAGAGGAAGAGGGTGGGGGATGTGATCTTGAGGGGATCAACAAATTAACTGCCCTAGTGCAAGGTAATAACGGCGAGACCCGCAACGTGCGCGTCGTGTGTGTGCTCGCAGACAACTAAGCGGCCGGTGAAAAAGCGCCTCTCTCCAGCGAAACCTTGCTGGAATTCCCAATCTGCTCCGCGCGCGTACGTATGTTATGAACTGGCATCATTCGGATAATAAAGTGTGCTCCGTCAGCCTGCCTTCTCAAAAGGACACTTGAATAATCGGCTACAAAGGTGAACTGTCTCAGGCGGAAACTCCGGAATTCGTTTCGATTCCACGGATATTGTTGAGATAATCAAAAGTCCGGACTCCTTCGTGTGTCACAATTAACATCGCCTCTCGTCAGACACGCCCGTGAATTCTTTGTTTGGGAGCTTTGAGGAAAATTAAGTCGACGGGAAATAACAAGGGAGAAAAATAATAAAGGAATTCTATTTTTTTTTAATTTCCAGAATATTCAAAGGTTTCCTTTTGTTCATAAAAAATAGTTTTTAAAGATGTAGAAAAAAATGGTCACTGTAATTTATCTGGCCAATCAGTTGAATAAAAATTGGTAAAAAATAGATAATTTTAATAAACAGAAAGTTGCACGTAATAAATAAAATTAAATAAAAATGAAGTAATTAAAATTAAACAATAACTGTGCACATTAGCCCACTCATAACTACGTCAAGAGCAAAAAAATTGATAAAATTGATTCTGATTATGCCTTATTACCAAAAGTTTGTCTTCAATGTATGGGATTTCCATATAGTGCATGCAACGATGCAGTTTTGTTTTGCGCAATTTTTGCACGTGAAAAATTAGAGCAAGACTTTTCCAGTCGATGTGTTACCGCAGAGTTTGAAACGAGAAGGCTCAATTAACAGGAAAATGAATGCGCAGCTGTCGACACAAGCCATAGCAGGTGCGTGCGTCGCATTGTTTGGGTCTGCACAGGATTTCCCGAAAAAGTCAGCGAGCGACAACTGTATTAATTTCCCACGGTTGCGCGACCTAAACACGAAATTTCCAACAGGAAAATCGGAAAACCAGAGCACACTAAAATTCCCTTTTAAACTGATATTAATGAGGTCAAAAATAAAAATTATAAAAAAACATAACACTCAGAAGTTGTTTATGTGACATTCATATTTTTCTCGCAGCTTGCGGATGACAACAGGTGACGTATTTTATTTCTTGATGTGTGGCATCAATAAACAAACAATTCCTTATGTCCGAGGGATTCCCCGGCTGCAAACTACGCCGCTGTACGCGCGCTCAAATACAGCCACTTTACGACTTAAAAAATGAAAAATTTTACAAACAGAGAAAGCATGCAATTCTTTGTCAATCGCGAACAGGGTGGGTCGTGGGCGTCCGAGTGGTTTATGACTTGATAGCATTGTCGTTTCGCGCAACACCAAAGGAGAAAATAGTATTATTTTGTTTATCAGTCAAAGATAAGAGTCACTGGATCTAGGTTGTTGGTAAAATACGAGTATTCGTTAATTAGCTGGGAAGCCCGCATTCTCTTTTTTCTCTGTCAAATGGGTTTGTTAGCGGCTCCCTATTTTCAAACGCGTGTCGCCAGATATGCTGCATTCTGTTTTGATATTCACAAATACATTCTGCAAATAGACAGATAGAGAGCACAACGACTGTGAGCTAGACTATTTGTCTGTCACACATGCGTAGCGGATTGCATACTTTCTAATGTGTTCCTATAATAGGAGAGAATATAATCATATTTTTCTATTTTAATCTTGTTGATCTGTAAAATAATTGATTTAAAACGCAATAAAATTGCAATCTTTATGAAATTAATCTATTTAAAGATTTCATGCTATAGTTCATTATTAAAAATAAACACGTCTGGAGAAGCAGTCTTATCAACAATTATTTCACAACAGGTCACAGCACACCAGAAAGGCGTCAATAATTTGCCTGATGCAAGATCATTATTTTTTTGTATCAAACTTTGACCCCGCTATTTTTAAAAGATAAGAAAGTGTTTATAAAGGGCGACATGGCTTTAGTTGCTTTGGGGCGCAGAAACACGCTTTGAAATTAAAGCAGCACCTACATTTTTGGAATTTCCCACCAGCCAGACTGGATCAGACAGAAATGAAGACTTGGATGAATATTTTTCCCCACAAGGTTGTAGTACCAGTTGGGTTCAGTGAAACGAGGGGCCGCATATTTAACGCAGGGCATCTTATAAATTTCAAGATCAGAGAGCGCGCGTTATATATTCAATGGTCTCTCCTGGGATTTCCATTCCATCCACTTTACATGATTCGTCTGCTTTAATCATAAAATATGAAAATCAATCTTCATAGATTCTCGTTATTTATTCGCTTTGGTTACTTATATTCTTACACTGAACAACTTGGTTCGACATTAATTTTTCCTCGAACACTTCTTTGCTACGATAATGTTTGACGGTTTGGGTTTCCCTGCAGTTTAATTTAATTTTTTACTTCGCGTTGGTTTAATTAAACTCTGATAATTTGGGATTTTACCACATGAAAGAATTGATAAAAAAAAAAGTTCAAGAAAGTCTACATTTCCGTTCTAAAGGCTTGTTAAAGTTATAAAAAATTTTAATTTTCTTATAATATTGCACATTTCATTTCGGTATTTCCGAAATTGCTTTGAATAGCATGTGGAAAAAAAATACAAATAAGGTTTTCTATATTCGCGTTTATCAAACATGATGAAATGCACGAGTAACGTCATTGATGATGATAATTTTTTGCTCATCACTACTGCATATTTATCCATCCTCCATAGTCATTGAATCATTTTCATGCAGGTGGAGAGAAGTGGAACAAAATTAGCACAGTTATTGTAATTTCCCTGCCATGATTATAAGCATTGCCTTGAACACGCAATGATCAAGCGAATAGTGGCACATGTGGGAAAGTTGCGAAACGGCAACACCCTATATTTAGTTGATGATAAAAATTATATGCGTTCGAAATCACTTGAGCTCTTTTGAGATATAAAAATTACTCGTTAATCTTAAGGAGATTTGCGGGTTGTTTAGCAGAACAGAAGGTATATTCTGAGGTATATTCCAAAATATATAATCTACAGAGTCAACTGAAGTTACTTTGATAACGCAATAATTCAGAGTATTTTTCGCCATTATCACTTTATAAACACTCGGGCGTATTTGCATGATACGAAAAGCTACTAAAAGCCTGCAAATTTTATGCCTGGGATTCCCTTCTCTGTTAAACACGGAAAAGGGAGATGAGTGAGCGAGCTAAAGCAAGTCTTTACGAAATGCACACTTCTCAATAAGATAAAGGCAAGTGTCGCGTATACAATCTCAATGTATGGACCTATTGATCCCAAAAAAATATTAATTAGTAAATTACCAAAAAATATTTTCAATCGTATGTTACATATTTTTTATTTGCATAAACAAAAAATAAAGGAGAAAAAGAAATTTTGAACTATTCAGAACTGCAGATTATTGTAACTGCCGTGGAAATTTTTTCTCTCAATACACATTTTCATGCCGATTTCTTTTTTCTTATAAATTATGCTACTCTGACTGATGAGAATAATTTTTTTTTTTAATTTTGCACAACCAATTAGTTGAGTTATCATAAAATTTTATTAACTTTAACTTTTCTCAATTGAATCGTTTTCATAGTTGTTTGTAAAAAAAACTTAACCTCATTCTGTCTAGCTAAATTTAAATTGCCCTTCATTGCCTCAACACCCTCATCCATTGAACTTAAATGTTAATGTTATTAAATAGCAATACTTTACTGGCATATTTTATTACGAAAAAAATAGCTGAAAACCAATTATCCTTTAAATTTTAAATTTATTACTTGCTTATATTTTCTGACGAGTGATATTTTTATTGTTGAAAGGTATAATTATAAAATATGAATTGTTGTATGCCTAGCATGTTAAAAACCACTGAAAGAGTTTCAGAATACTTCTTTAATTTTGATGCAAGTTATTTTGTGGTCCATGGCACATCTTTCTCTCGAGGCTGTCGCATTTTAGATTCAAGGAGGTGCTACCGCTTCTTAGATTTTTAATAATACAAATATTTATTTTCTCTCGTAAAACAAATTGATTAGTTGATTATTGATAATTGAAAATTTTTGGCAATAACAATTTACTTACAAACTGAAAGTCAATCCGTATTGGAAATTCAATCTGGCTATTTCTTGTTACAGCCTTTTACATTTATTGTAATACTAAATTATAAACAATGATTAGATTATTAAATTACAATTTAATTTTAACGCTCATTTATAGAAAATTTATATTGGAAAGTCTCCTCCGATCAAACTAAAATTGAACAACTAACAACTCAAAAACCGAAAATTGTTTGACAAAATTTATCTTTCAACTGAAAATAGTTAATTTTGTGCTACTTAATTTTAAAAATTTGTAACTTAAAAAAAAATGAATTAATATTATATATTTGTTCTACTAAACTGTAAATAAATTATTTCAAATGTGTAGGATGCATGATACTTTGATGTGCTGATAATAGGAAATTGCTTACCTCATTAGTAAATTTTAGATGTTTTCTTTGTGCACTAATTAGCAGCCCTATTGCCTTCAGCAATGCAGAGAACTGTTTATGGAAACTGGTCAATTCTTAAGGGTGAATATACGCGGTTTATAAATGTAGTGGGGCGTTATTTTTTATTTCACTGATTACATTCGAGTCTTTGGATACGGAATCCCCCGTTGATTAAGGGAACACCCCATAAGTAATTTATCTTGATATGGGAAATGCTGCGCTCTCTCTACAGATTGAATTTTGACCCCAGTTTGTTTATATATTATCTCAACGATAAATTATCGTACAGTTAGAGTTAGGGAATTTGATCACCACAATCCAGATTTATGGTGGAAAGTTGTACTTAAAAAAAATATTCCGTTCCATAATAAACATATATTAAGGAAATCCCACACACATCTTTTCAAAGCCGCGTATTTTCCATAGAATTTTGATATTGACCTTCACTCCCATACGCTCTCATTTAAAATAATAATGATAATAATAAGTTGTTGAGACCCTTGTATTTAACAATCTTAATTAAAAATAATCCATATATATAAAATTAATTATATTATTTATTGCTATACATGACAACAAAGATTGGATTTTAGGTTTTTCTTCATATTAACTTGACTTTACACTTTTTATGCGTGTTCTTACTATTTTTTTCTGCTATGTCAGAAACTCACGCACCCATGTGAACTCACGAACTCTCTAAAACAATGCTGATCTTAATATTTATTTGAATTAAGTGATAAGTAGTGGAATAAGTGTATTATTAATAGGAGCAAAGTAATATATAAGTTTTGGTTTTATTATTATTAACACAACATAATATATTTTGCTAAAATGCATTAATCAACAGTCGTTAATTAACTAATTAAGTCAAGATTAAATGCGTTGTAGTTCACCAAATTTTTAAACTTTCGCGCCGTCCCCCGTCCCGCCCAATTGAATGTAACATGGTGGAGCACATGGTGACCGGCTTAGTCGCGAGAGGATTGTAAACTTGCCTGTATTTTTCAAGAAATTTTCACGCACAGATTCGCCGTTCGCGCATAAAACAGCACTTATTCAAGTCTATCAACACGAGTGAATCGAAGTCTTGAGTTTTAATTGATCATTGGAAGTTCGGCGCGTTCTAGAACTCATTTTCCGCGAAGGAGCGCGTGAAGATTGGCTGCCAAGGCTCTTTTCTAGAATAATCGAGACCCATCGAGGCATTTGGGGCTGCTGCATATTTGTTCATAAGGCAACAGTTGCTCAATTTGCAAGGACCAGAGTTCTTCAGTTGGCCTAGAAATGACGGACGTTGCTTCTGAGGTATAATGACAATTTTTTACGTCCCCTCTGTTCTTTGCTCTGAACAAAATCAAGGTCGAATTTATAATATTCAGTGAGAACGGATCAGTCGGATCATGATAATTGTTTTTTATTTGCATAACTTAAAACAATATATTGTGCTTTATACATTTCTTAACATTTTTGGGACTTAAATTGTTTATTTTCAATATGAAATACTGAATTTTTAGGTGAACACCCTGAAGGAGAAGGGAAATGCAGCCCTCGCCGATGAGAAATTCACGGATGCCATCGATTTTTACACAAGAGCGATCGAATTGGATCCCTCAAATCACGTTCTCTACAGTAATAGATCTGCTGCCCATGCCAAGGCTGGCCAACATTTTCAGGCCCTCGAAGATGCTCAGAAAACTGTCAGTTTGAAACCTGACTGGCCCAAGGTTAATTTCGGAAATAAAATTTCTTATCCGACTGAACTGATTATATAATTATTTTTGTGTAGGGTTACTCGCGGAAAGGAAGTGCTTTAGTGTATGTTAATAGATTTGACGATGCCATCGAGGCGTACGAGGAGGGCCTTAAGTTGGACCCGAACAACAAGCAGTTGCAGGAAGGACTTGAAGTGGCTAAGAAGGAAGCTCAGCAAGACCCGATAGGTCAACTCTTTGGTGGTGGAGGACCTTTTAGTTCTCCAGATACTTACGCCAAGTTGCAGATGAATCCCAAAACTAGCGCCTTTCTTGCTCAGCCCGACTTTCAAATGATTTTGGCTGACCTGAAGGCCAATCCCAAGAACTTAGGGTATTGCTCTTTTTATTTTGCATTGAGACAAATCAATAAATTTTTCCTCTTTCCAGAAACCACTTGGGTGACCCTCGTGTGCAGGCCGCACTTGGTGTGCTTCTCGGCATAAATATTAGCACTCCTGAAAATATGGACGTTGATCCTCCCTCCAGGAAACCTGAATCCAGGTCATCGCCGAAAGAGGAGAAAATGGACACAACTCCTCACAAAGAATTGACTGAAGTATGCAGACAATTATTCAGTCATGAAAATTCTAATCCCGAGTATTGTAGGCTCAAAAAGAGAAGGAATTGGGAAATGCTGCTTACAAGAAAAAGGACTTTGAAACGGCACTGATTCATTACCACAAGGCAGTCGATCTTGAGCCTTTGGAAATAACTTATTTGAACAACATAGCAGCCGTTTACTTTGAACAAAAGGAGTACGAAAAGTGCATAGAACAGTGCCAAAAGGCTGTCGAGCTAGGACGGGAAAATCGAGCCGACTTCAAGCTCATTGCCAAAGCCTTCACAAGGATTGGAAATGCGTACAAACGCCTTAATGTAACTTTTATCTCTTGTCAATTATTACTTAAAAATCTACCTACTTGTATAGGACTGGAACAATGCTAAAATCTACTACGAAAAGTCCATGCTTGAGCATCGCACTCCAGAAAGCAAGACGTTGCTGTCTCAAGCCGAAAAGATGATCAAGGAGCTGGAGAGAAAAGCTTACATTAACCCTGAGAAGGCGGAAGTTGAAAAGGAACTGGGAAATGAGCTTTTCAAGAAAGGTTTGGCTCACATCTGGGTCTCTGATTTTTATTTATACCATAATTTTACAGGAAACTATGCTGAAGCAATCAAGCACTATTCGGAGGCGATTATGAGAAATCCGGATGACCCGAAATATTACAGCAACCGAGCTGCTTGTTACACTAAGTTAGCTGCATTTGACTTGGGACTGAAGGATTGCGAGAAGTGCCTAGAGCTGGACCCTAAGTTCAGTAAGTGTAGTTGAATTAAAAAATAATAAACACCGATTAAATTTTTTTCTGCAGTCAAAGGTTGGATCCGGAAAGGAAAGATTCTGCAAGGAATGCAGCAGCCTGGAAAGGCATCATCTGCCTATCAGAAAGCCATTGATTTGGATCCGAACAACTCGGTACAAATTTGAAGATCTGTTGAAATTTTAAACACTGAAGATTTTATTTTTATTTTGTAGGAAGCACTAGATGGCTACAGAGCTTGTGCCGTTGCTGTCAATTCCAATCCCGAAGAAGTGAGGAAACGGGCTATGAATGACCCAGAAATCCAAAACATTCTCAGAGATCCAGCAATGAGAATTATTTTGGAACAAATGCAGAACGACCCGAGGGCTTTACAAGAGTGAGCTGCTTAATTGTTGTTAAATATTGGTACTAATGTATTTATTGTCCACAGTCATTTGAAAAATCCAGAGATTGCCTCAAAGATCCAAAAACTTCTTGAATCAGGACTTATTGCTATTCACTAACAATGATGGAAGAAACGAAGTTCACTACAATTATGCTGATATGCTCTGCTTTTTGGAACCAACTTTTGTCAATGCAACTACCCTTTGCTTGAGTTAGTTTGTGTAAGATATTTTTAAACCATGTTCGCTGGAAACATTTCATTCCACAAGCAAGTAAAATACAATTGGAATCTTTCATCGCTAAATCAATATACAAATTTCATGGTTTTTCTTCGTCTTGCCCCGCTAAAACACTACATATTTGGTTAAACAAAATACATATTTTTTTAATGGATTCAGTATGGTACACACTGACCCTTTATAATGGAAAGGTGACTAATTTTTGGATTAAGAAGTACCATATAACGCTATTAAGGTCGATAGTGATATTATCATTTTCAATTTTGACTGTTGGAAATAACAAATAATCAAAAGCACTGAGGTTTGGCAATGAGGCGTTCTCTATAGATTTTTCAGCAATATTTGTACTTCTAAATTCCAGATATTGCAGCACTCAACATATATGTTAAGTTTGATAACTTATTATTCTAATAATGTAGTAAGTTGAGCAACGTTAAACTAATTTTGTTATAAAATACTTTTTTTTATTTTTTTCTATAATTCTATACAAATCAGAAAAATTGTGCTTACAACATCTTGATAGGACCTGACGTCATTTTTTCATTATAATTTTATCATAAATTTCAATTAATTTACAATAACATTTTGGCGTGATAAACCTTCTTTAAATTTACCGCCATTCTCTTGGTCGTTGGAATGTCGCGCCATTTTTGACTCAGGTTGTTATTTTTATATAAAGTGATAGGACACTTATTGTATAAATAAATTAAAATTTATGTACCAATTGAATCAAAAAATTATTATTGCAATTAATTTAATATTATAGACGTTTGCCGTAGAGGGATAATTGATAAGTGAGACATTTCCTACCGAAAATGATTCATAGTAAACAAGCCGCTGTCGCCGCTCGGTTGCTTTCGGCAAAATTCCGGAAACACTCGACCGTTCATGCCATCCTCAAAACCAGTTTATACTGGATTTGCGCCTCTCAAATACACTGATGTTGTAGATTTTCAAAGTTTCGAAGCCTTAAATTCGTGTTAAGGAGGAGCAAGTATGTTTTCAAGCAGCGTAGCATTTATTGCACATTGACGTAGAACGTAGTGAATCGTGGTTCGGCCACATTCTTCCACATTTTGCTTGATAAATTCGGCTTCGAAGTGAAATTTTCCATCCGCCGACCCCGAGTGCGTTGCCATTTTTGTTTGGTTTGAGCGCAGCTTCGCCACTCATGTGGGCGACAAAGTGAATTTCGTTGGGGAAGTCTCGGGCCCAGCAATTTATTCCACGGTTTTTTGACGGCTTAGACCATTCAAAATTGCACGTAAAGCTGTCAGACGCGAGGTATCGCCGCAAGAATTTTTTTCTGCCGCAACTGCGTCACTTATTAGCAACGATAACATTGTATAACGCGTCCTTAGTCCTTACCAAAATACATCAACTCGTTGCTTTTCTTCACGCAACGTTTTTTTTTTGACAATTTTTTAGAATTCTGTTTGATTCCAGCAATACTACCTTACCATGGCGACGATAACAGAGCAAGCAATGAAATTGCTCGATTTCAACCAGAAGCTGGACATCACCTTGCTGGACAACATAGTCGGCTGCATGTATACTGGAATAGGAGAGCAGGTAATTTTCTTATTGATTCCTGCCCAGGAATGCTCATTAATTGGATTTTCCCCTTGATCGTCCAGCAACGAGCGGCCCAAGAAGTGTTGACTACCCTGAAGGAACACCCTGACGCGTGGACGAGGGTCGATACAATCTTGGAGTACTCCAGCAACCAGCAAACCAAGTACTTTGCTCTTCAAATTTTAGAGCAAGTCATCAAAACCAGGTGGAAAGTCTTGCCTCGAGCGCAGTGTGAAGGTCATTAATTGCTGATTTATCTTGAGAAATCATCTCATATTGTTCTCGGTGTAACAGGTATCAAGAAATACATTGTGGGACTTATCATCAAAACCTCTTCAGATGCTTCAACCTTAGAGGCTGAGAAAGTCTATCTGAATAAGCTTAACATGATTCTTGTCCAGGTACTAATTTTTGTTTATTTATCAATGGAAGAAAGTGAAATATTTTGTTCACAGGTTTTGAAACGAGAATGGCCAAACAACTGGCAGTCGTTCATTCCTGACATTGTGGGTGCAAGTAAAACAAATGAAAGCCTGTGCCAAAACAACATGGCAATTTTGAAGCTGCTAAGTGAAGAGGTTTTCGACTTCTCCAGTGGACAAATGACACAAAGCAAGGCAAAGTTTTTGAAGGACTCCATGTGCAACCAGTTTGGCCAAATATTCACTCTTTGTCAATTTGTCATGGTAGGTTAAGAAAAGTAATAATTATTGAATAGAAATAAATTTAAAAATCCTCAGGAGTCTTCACAAAACGCACCTCTAGTTGCGTCAACTCTGGAGACACTTCTTAGGTTCCTCAATTGGATTCCGTTGGGCTACATTTTTGAAACAAAGCTCATCAGCACTCTCATATACAAGGTAATTAATTTTGAACATTCAAGATTGTCTAATGCCTCTTAAATTTGTATTCCAGTTTCTCGGAGTGCCGCTGTTCCGCAATGTGACACTAAAGTGCTTAACCGAGATTGCCGGTGTGACAGTCACAAACTATGACGACATGTTTGTTGTACTTTTTACGGACACAATGATTCAGCTGGAGCAGGTAGCCAGTTGATGAATTAGTATGAGTGCGAGGGAGTGTGTTTACTTGTGGTCAAGCAAATGAAGAAGTGAGGAGTACCCCTGATCGAGTTGATGAGTTTGGCGTAGTTTGATGTGGCGTTCACTTATTGGATAATATTGTGATGTTACAAAAGTCACCGATTGATTTGATTGAGCTTTTGATTTGCCATTTGATAGTGTACATCAAATTGCGTGTAGATGTCTGTGTAAATGTGCATGATGGACCAAACTGATTGGCCACCGTTTGTCTCATTTAATGATGACGTTTAAGTGCAAATGGAACTGATTGTGATGAAGAAAGTTTGGATTTAGATGCATATGAGTTTTTTTTTACTTTTGAGATACTCGAGTAAATTAAAATTTAAACTAATTAATGGACGGCAATCATTTGACGCAGCCATGGTTTAATTCGAGAGTAACTCGTTAAAATTCAATTTCCGAATTCATGAAATAGGGGGTTATGTGTCTAGTCCAAACTCTCATTCAGTAATTAATAGTGGCCCTCAAGAGTGCCAGTGGAACGCAACCTGTGAGAAATGTTGTTTTTGCACATGTTACAAAGTTTGCAACGATTTGATTTTCCTGCATGCACTATTTCAGATGCTGCCGTTGAATACAAATATCCGAGAGGCTTATTCAAGAGGCCAGGATGCTGAGCAGAACTTCATCCAGAATTTGGCTATGTTCCTGTGCACCTATCTAAAAGAGCATGGCAGCTTAATAGAACAGAAACATATCGATGATACCCTTTTGAAGGTAAAGTAGATCATGTCTTCATAGTTTATTATTCAACAACAATTTCGTTTAGGCCCTGCATTATCTTGTACTGATCTCAGAGGTAGAGGAAGTCGAAATCTTTAAGATCTGCTTAGAGTACTGGAATAGTTTGAGTGCTGACCTCTATCGCGAAAGTCCCTACCCCACGCAGTCCAGTCCTCTGTTCCTTGGGAAGATCAACTCTACCCTTCCACCCAGAAGGCAGTTCTACAGTCCTGTTCTAACAAAGGTGAAATTGGTCGTGAAATGGCGTGCTCTGGATTTTATAAAGTAATAATTCGCATAGATTCGGTACATCATGATCAGCCGAATGGCCAAGCCTGAAGAAGTCCTTGTGGTGGAGAACGAGAATGGTGAAGTTGTGCGAGAGTTCATGAAGGACACGGACTCCATCAATCTGTACAAAAACATGCGTGAGACTTTGGTATACCTAACTCACTTGGACTACGCAGACACCGAGCGTATCATGACAGAGAAACTTCTCAACCAAGTCAATGGAACCGAGTGGTCATGGAAAAACCTAAATACGGTTGGTTCTCGTGAAAGAGTGCTTTGATTATAAAATATAATCTTGTCCCGTTTTCCAGCTTTGTTGGGCAATAGGTAGCATCTCTGGAGCCATGCACGAAGAAGACGAAAAGAGGTTCTTGGTCACTGTCATTAAAGATCTTCTGGGTCTATGTGAGCAGAAGAAAGGCAAAGACAACAAGGCCATCATTGCTTCCAACATTATGTATGTTGTTGGGCAATATCCCAGATTCCTCAGAGCGCACTGGAAGTTCCTCAAAACTGTGGTCAACAAACTATTTGAATTCATGCACGGTAAAACAAAACAAGCTAATTTTTATGTCTGCTCATAACAATTTATCAAAAACAGAAACCCACGATGGTGTGCAGGACATGGCTTGTGACACATTTATCAAGATTGCTCTCAAGTGTAGGAGGCATTTTGTGCAAATGCAGGTTGGAGAGGTAATGCCGTTCATCGAGGAAATTTTGGCCAGCATCAGTACAATCATTTGTGACTTGCAGTCTCAGCAAGTGAGTTAATTTTGTTACTTTTTAATCCTAGATTATTTAAACTTGCAATTATAGGTTCACACATTTTACGAGGCTGTCGGTTACATGATTAGTGCCCAAGTTGACCAGCGAGTTCAGGACCACTTAATCGAGAGCTACATGATGCTGCCCAACCAAGTATGGGATGACATCATCGGTCAGGCCTCTAAGAACGTCGACGTTCTCAAAGACCAGGAGGCGGTCAAGCAGCTCTCCAGCATACTGAAAACCAATGTCAGAGCCTGCAAAGCGCTCGGCCACCCATATGTACTCCAAGTAAGAGATCAAAATGGTTATTCTAGAATGAGTTATATTGAAGAAAACTATTTCCAGCTTGGTCGCATCTACCTTGACATGCTGAATGTGTACAAAGTAATGAGTGAAAACATCATATCTGCCATTGCACTGAATGGCGAACAAGTTACTAAGCAGCCCCTCATCAAAGGCATGCGCGTCGTCAAGAAGGAAACTTTGAAACTCATCTCTGACTGGGTCAGCAGATCCAACGACCCACAAATGGTACGTCGAAAGCAAAGACTAGAAAATCAATGCTGTGGAAACTAATGCAAACTCTTTAGGTGTTGGAAAACTTCATTCCTCCTCTCTTGGATGCTGTTCTGCTCGACTACCAGCGCACTAGTGTTGCTGCTGCTAGGGAACCTGAAGTTCTCAGCACCATGGCAACTATTGTCAATAAGTTAGGCAATCACATCACTCCCGAGGTGCCCAAAATTTTCGATGCTGTATTTGAATGCACCCTGCAGATGATCAACAAAGACTTTGAAGAGTACCCTGAGCACAGAACGAATTTCTTCCTCCTTCTGCAGGTAATTTTTCTAATTTTCTTTCAAGCGAAAATGTGATTTTCTGACCTCATTCTAAAAATTTATAGGCAGTGAACAACCATTGCTTCCCAGCATTCCTCAACATCCCTCCTGCCCAATTCAAGCTGGTTCTTGACTCAATCATTTGGGCTTTCAAACACACAATGAGGAATGTTGCAGACACAGGCCTTCAAGTGAGTGAAAATTTTTCTTGTAAATTTACACATGGTTTGCAATTTTTATTTACTGCGATTTTAAATACAAATTACATTGAAATGTTCAACATTATTAGCCACACTCATGGATATTCCATAAATTTTAGATCCTCCACCAGCTTTTGCAAAATGTTGAGCTGCATGACGAGGCAGCACAAAGCTTCTACCAAACCTATTTCACCGACATACTGCAGCACATTTTCTCAGTGGTGACGGACACGTCGCACACAGCTGGTCTAACCATGCACGCCACCATCCTGGCCTACATGTTCTCCATGGTGGAGATGGGCAAGATTAGTGTGCCTCTTGGCCCTGGCGCCACCTCGGCTGCCGAGAATGTGCTCTACATTCAGGAGTTTGTTGCAAATCTGCTGAGGCAGGCGTTCCCTCACTTGACGGACAACCAGATCAAGATCACTGTGCAGGGTCTGTTCAACCTCGACCAGGACATCAACGCCTTCAAGGAGCACTTGAGAGATTTCCTTGTTCAGATCAGGGTTAGTTCATAAGATTAAGCATTTTCAACTTTTGCACTCACACCCATGCAATTTCAGGAGTACACGGGAGAGGACGATTCAGACTTGTTCTTGGAGGAGCGAGAACAAGCGTTGCGACAAGCGCAAGATGAGAAGAGACGTGTACAAATGGCAGTGCCTGGCATTCTGAACCCTCACGAAATGCCTGAAGAGATGCAGGACTAGGATAAATCTGAAGTAATACACGCGACACACAAAATAACAACAGTGATGACATTAGAGTTAGTTGTACCAGGTTAATGTTTTGCTGTACCCTTCGTTTTAACCATATCCGCGAGTCTAACATTCTTCGAAATATATTTCCCCGACAGCCAGAGCGAGGACTTGCGGCGGAGCAATTTTTTAAACTTTCCAATATGAGAATTTAAAACACCCATTTATGCAGCAACGGAATCTAGTTTTGCAAAATGATGCAATTATTACATCGTCAATACCTTCACCGTCACAAAGTGAGGTTGCATGTGAGAGGATGAATGCCGGAGTTTTTATCTTTTCCAGTTTATTTGCTATTTATGGACCAAGACTGCCAAAACATTAACAGGAAAATCCTAACAGCTACGTGTCGCTGGTTTCTTTTGTTTCATTACCTTCTTTAAATTAGTAAAAAAAAATCAATCTCGAAGAAGCTTGTAATCCAGGCCCACCCGAGCAGCCAGCATTTTCATCATTCATCATTGCCTGATTAGCGTACGCCTTTAGCTACCATTAATTTTGACTTCGTACAATTTAAGGAACTCCAAAGTGTTTGTGTGCGAGGTAAAAACAGTGCTAATCTAATAATTTTGACAGATGCGCAAAGGGTGTCCTAATCATTTTTTTTCTAACACACATACAGTAGTAGTTCTTTTATTGTAATGTGAACTTGTCAGTGAAAACAGCAATGCACTTCTGTTTAAAGAGGTTGATAACTACTCATCTTGAAAGGGTTCATAACCCTTCAGGGTCGATGTGAAATTAGATTTCAAACATGTTTTTGGTATGATGGCTGCTTACGTATACATGCTTTTGTAAGTTAGAATGCAATGTGAAGATAAATCAATAAACATATTTTACACATAATCTCTACAATTCAACCTCATTTATTAACCAGAGAGCACAAATAATAAATAAATAACAGATTTTTCCAGTCAGGCGTCCATCTCGGAACTGTACGCGGTGTGCATTCTCCTTCGTACGGCCGTTCCTAAGCATATGGCGAAAATGGCACCAAATAGCTGAAAATTTTACTAAAGTAAAGGCTCTGATAATAATATGAGGTTTGATTTTTCTCACCGCAAACGTCACTGCAATTCCACCGAGGACATTCTGCATCAGAACTAGCCAGCCCGACAGATCCTTGAAACAGCCAAAGGCCCATATTCCACCAATACACCTAACGTCGGTCGCAGGGCACTTGCACGACTCGGGGTATTCATTCATGTAGTCGAGCCATTCCCAAGGGTCGTCAATCGCACAGCAGCGAAACTAGCAATAGAAATTAAAGCAATTAAATATTTACTTAAATTGTTAATATATAATTAAATTTGCTATTTTTTATTATATTATATTTTTTTTTAATCATTACGTCATTTTGAACTTGGTCCCAAGCCTTACGAGCTGCCTCTTCATCGGGGAGCGGATATAATTGCATCGCGTACCTCATCGAGTCCTTCAAAAATAAAGCTATGTCCGATTGAAAGACTATTGCCAAAATTCCTCCCGTCACTTGCAGAATAAACAACGCCATGAGGCAAATTGCGAACTGCCAATAAAGATATTTTATTTCTGGATAATGTTATAGTAAAATAATTTTTCTTACTGTCAAAATCAAGCAAACCGACTCTCTGATTGCGCCGCAACATCCTACAAAGGCCACGACAAACGTGATTCCGCCGACGATAATCAGTATTATACCGGGCAACGCCACCTTCAATAAACATGCGAACAAGACCAATTTTCGTATATTTACTCAATAAAAACATAAAATAGTTGACGTACGTCTCCTGGGAAAAGTGAGCCATAATTTTCAATGTTCCATTGGATGATTGATCCCAGCACCAGTAAAGCTATCCCTCCGAGCTGGAATTTATTTAATTAAACACTCTTGGGAAAAATGAAGTATTATTTTGATTCAATTGTGTATTATTTACTTACGCAAAACACCAGATTGAAAGCAAATAGCAAATATTTGACAGCCTCTGATCCGCAGCCCATTGTTTTTCGTGTGCGACGAGAAAAAATCCACACAGATAAAAAAAGCTTGCTTTTGCTAAGCCATGATTTAAATCATATAATTTTTGGTAGTTTCACGACGAATTCCTCTTGCTGACTAATTTTGTGCGCATCTCGTCAAGCTGCTCAGAGATATTTTATCAGAGAAAAAAAACGTCTTGCCCGCCTTTCTTAATAATGTACACTGGTCATGACGTTTCTTATCTACCGAAGAAGAGCGGCGGCGAGCTTATCAAAAAACAAAAAATTTCCAACAACGCTGGAGAACATGTGGAGTGGGGGCACCTCTAGTTGAAAATAAAGTTAAAAATACTATATGCGTTTAATGCGTTGTTTTCAAACTGTGAACGTCGCCATAAGCCTTGAGAAATTGGTTAAATTTTAAAAGTGGTCTTATTGCGTATTCGCCTCATCAGTATTCCTTTTACGGAGCAATATATTAAAATTTAAAAAAAAAGAAGAGCCACTGGGAAACGACAAACACACGCTTTACCTTTAATATTAATTAATTAATTTAACTGACAAAAATAAATATCTGCTTTCTTTTTTTTTTTTAACAAAGCCAGCTTTTAATTACGCCTGTGGGTTTTACATAGTTGCACTCGTAAATCTGTATTTAACCTGCTTAAATTTATTGAATACTGAATACAATATTTGGTTTTGAAGAGAATTTTATTGTTAGGCAAAAATAATAAAGTCAACAATCTTTTCCGCCATTTGGGAATTTGGTGGCCACGCGAGTTCATTTTAGTTAATAAAATATGAATAAAAGAATAATAATATAAAAAGCAATACATACATTAAAAGTTAAAAGTTTTCAAAATTTCAATCTTTTCAGGATTTTGAAGAACTGCTTGTCTAGGGAAATTGAAAGGTGCTGTGGAGGTTGACAGTGTATTATTATTATTTTTTGAAATGTTTTATAATTTGCAAATATTTCAAATTATATTATTTATTTTTTTAAATATTTAGCAATGAAATTATTTTTTTTCTCTTCAGAAAATATGAGTAAATTAATGATTATTATTTAGATTCTATGTGAGTTGAATTATCTTACTGGTGGCAGATCAGCAAGCGCGTGCAGTCGTGAGCGTTCTTAAAAAGTGCGAATGAGAAGTTTACAGATTTTTAATATTTATTATGAGACAATGAAAGGCATACGCCGCACGTGCTCGCGCCGCACTCTATATTTATACTGTAAATGTTTTTCCAAAAGTTTTATTAGGGAATATAATTATTTTGGCATAAAAATCTACAACAATCAATCAATCATATTGATTAATGGCTGAAGTTAGCCGGTTTATTATATTGCAATAAATTCAGTACGACAATAATATACGAGTTTTTAATGATACATATTTATTATGTTATAATAAAAAGGCTGTGCTATGTTTAATTGTGTGTTCCGCCGCCGCCAGGTTGTGGCGCTCCGTTCACAACCGATCTCTCAGTTACGAAAAGGACAAAAGGAGCGCTTCGGCAAACCTCGCTCGCACCTCACAGCCTGTGAAAAACGAGGACCAGGAAACGCTAAAAAAGAGATCCTCGCGTTTTTTCCTCACCGCGAATTCGAGTCTCGGCCGCGACCGACGACACGCATGGACTGAACCTGCGGAGGATCTTTCGTTTGGGTCGCCGGAGTCGCCTCCGCAACAAGTGAGTTGAAATTTATTTCGCTGGAATCGTGCAGTTGGCCTCCATATCAGGTCACACCCACCCACACACTGAACAACCAGATGAGCCCCATTAAAGCCCGGCCGAAAATCAGCTCTCGTCTGCGTTTTGCCCTTCAGTCGCAATACACGTCGCGACACTGCTCTCGTTCGCTCGGCGTGACCTTTTACGAGAAAAAGTAGCATCACCGGGGCAAATCTTCTTATCAATAAATGTAATCCCTGTCGTACTCTTTCCACCTTTGAATTTGAATAAGTAGCCTTTTAAATGGAACGAATAAAATATAGCAAATTTATCATGAACATTTTCTCTAACAAAAATAAAAGTGCAATTATATTAATTATAAATTCATGGCGCTGAAAATAGAGGAATAATTTATATTTCATAATTTTCCGCTATGAATGATTCACAAACAGGTCAAGGTAATTTAATTTTTAGTTGGTATTCTAAAAGCATCTTTAGAATAAGCTTTTAGCCTCCAACTTAGATATGGTGTTTTGAGACTTTTGAGTACTGGTCGGGATAATTACTTTTGTCCCAAAAGCAGCCCGACGTGGGCGTTTTTAGCCTCTCTTGTGTTTGACAAGTGCTGTGTTGGTCACTTGCGGTTTACACTCTCTGTTGCACACGCGTTTTCCATTTTGCTGGTGGTGTGTGTAACTTTGGCAAAAACCACCAAAATAATTTCCCCAGCGAGCTGCGGGAGGCTCTTTGTACGAGGACCAAAAGCTGTCGGCCAAATGCAGAATTAAAAACAAAACGTCAAAAATGAAAGTTTGGAGCAAAATAAAAGATGACTTGCGGGAAGTTTCCTTGCCATGAAATTTTCATTATTTGCCCAACTGAGTCACTGGTAGCCCATTATCGACAGGTACGGCAAAATAAATAATGCGTGCTGATGTCACACTTGATGGTGATGGCCATCGCTCAAAATAAACCCGAGCGCCACGGGTGGGATATGAAAATCGCAAAAAACATCCTGCGTGCGTCTGTTCCGCACAAATGAAGCGATCGAATTTTCCCTGCCCACTTTTTTTTCTACGGCTGTTGATTGTGCATTAATGGAATTGAACTCCCACGGCCGAAGTGGAAAAGCAACTAGAGAGCAAATCGTCCAATTTAGCCGCTCCCCACGGACCGATGCAAATAATCCAATTTAATCTGCAATTTAATCAATGAGACCTTCACCATTATATTTCGCGGGGCGAAATTAGTCTAAACAAGCAATAATATAATAATAATCATTTCTCCCTTTTTTAAAGGAAAATAATTTAAAGAAATGAAAAAAAATTCGTTTTTTTTACACTTTTTTAACACTTCCATTTCTCTAACTTTTAAACGGTGCCAGTTTGATCAAAGAGACCTTCACCATTCATTTTCGTGGGGCGAAATTAGTCTAAACAAGAATAATTAGTTCATTTGAGCCATTGGATTATCACTGTCTAGTTACGGCGGTGAGTCGGCATTGGATCCAGACACCTTGGCATCAAAATCAAGTTTCCCATTAGTCGCCAGATAACATGAAAATTTTTCTACGTCACGAGGGTGGATTTAGGGGTGAAGGGGTAAAAATTACTGTTCACTAAAAGTATCAAGAAACGGTTAGAATGGTCTCTCCAGGAATTTTTCACAGCCGCCAGAAATTGTGAAAAAAGTTTTTTAAAATTATTATTATTGTTGTTTTGGATTGAAATAATTTTACTTTTTAAATACAATTTTTTTGTTATATATTTATAATTTATAATAAATTATTGAGTTTTTAAAACTGAAATTAAAAAATTTATAAATAAAACTATTTCGGCTGATTAGTGATTGTGTCGTCAAAATTGATTAAATTTTAAATGAAATTAATTATGTAGCTTGAATCTTATATAATGTCGTGAGAAAATTTTTGTTGTATACTAAAAAAGCAAATCTTTTCACTTAAAACATTTTTTGCCTAAAATATTTCTCGCAAAATTTTTTCTTTTCAATTTTGTCCACTTCGTCGGGCCCTGCGGGGCCCTCCGCGACCCGGTGCCCGTGTAAATTTCCGCCCTCGAAATCCTTGTTGCTGCCACTGTATAATCTGTTTCATTTGCAGGATGACTGGTCGCGAGCTGCTGCTTTTTTTGGTGCCACTTTTATTCGCACTGTCCGACGGTGGGCAGTGCCCACCTTCTTTTCAGGTGCGAAATTATTATTTTAATTATTTAATTTGGCTGATGTAAAAATAATTATAAGTTTCTTAAAAATAATTATCTTCTTAATTAAGGTGAATTTTAAAGTTTTTTTTTTTTAATTTATGCATCATATTCTATGAACCAAAGCGATATAAATTAGTGTTTTTTTTAATCCTCATGATGACAATTTAAATTCGACAATGATATTTTTAATCTGTTTTCGTTTTGTATGATTTATATTCAGCATTAATTTAAATAACCCTTTATTAATTTATATATTTTAGAAAAATATATCTGAAAGTTTTTACTAACTAAGGAAAGTGATTCAATTAATATTTTATTCTTTTTTTAGAACAAATGTTGGTGCGGGCGAATGCAGTACCAAGGGCTGTCGGACATGTACGTGGTCAACTGCACAAGCCAATTCTTCAGCGACACCCACATGCTCACCGCGCTGCCTCCAGAGACGCAGGCAAGTGAATTTCTTTCCACGTTGCAATCTAATTCAGGGATGTAATTTCGCCCAAAATGAGCGGCGCGCGCAATGAACTCGTGGCGACTCTGATTTTTGCATTTATTTCCCAAGGGCGCACGTCGCTATTATGCTGTTGTGAAAGCAGACGCAGAGTGGCAAAGTGCACTCGCACTCAATTTACCTGAGCGTGCCACCTTGGCTTCTGCACGGTGATAACTTTTTACAAATATATCGCAGCCCTTTTTGAAATTACGTGAAAGTGGTGCAATTGAACAATATAATAAACCTTACTTTTAATTGTTTATTTCAATTAAAACGTAAGGGTTAAAAACATATTTGATTTCATTTATTTTAAATTTTATTATTTTTATTTTCAGATGAGACGGTTAAAATAAATGCTTTGAATCCATTTTATTTATTAAATATTATTAAATTGCAGTTTATCATAGATGAATAATTTTTCATACTACACTCTCTGTAGTACTACAGAAAACACAATAGTAATTTTAAGTGCAATAATTTTAATTAATTAGAATTAATACACCTGCGCAAGCAAATAATCCATTTATATTTTAAAAAGAGTACCTTGTTTTCATCAATCCAACACACACTTTTTAATTAACCGTATGGAAAATCACAAATAAAAAAGATTTAAAAATACAAGCGTGGAAGAGAATGCGCAGATATTAATCAAAATTATTTTTGGTTTCAAAAGGCGGAAAATTATTTTCAGAATCCTCACATGGCGTTACGTACAGGACTTTATTTTCGGACAACTGGTCTTTGTGAAACCTTTGAAGCTTGCGATTTGTAAAATGCTGAAAATAGCACTCTTGTTACCTGGTGAGGAACGAGCAGCTTGTTTTTGCACTAAATCTAAATTAACACGGCGGATTGCCTAGAAGTGCGGGGCATGCCTTCAAAGTCCTTTCAAACGCTGCCTGCCATCAAAGTCGAGGTGCGAGCGGCAGAAATGAGGATTAATTGTTTGTTTTGGCCGGGAACGTTTTTCCTCATTACAGTTGGGCAAAACTCGGTTTATTTTCATTCCGGCGCCCACTCCAATTTTCTTTCTTTCTTGCCCAACGCTCTCGCATCTCTGGAAATAAAAGCACCGAGCGCGCTTGCTTGTTCTGCTGCGCGGATAATGGCACACTAGAGGTGACGCAGGAAGCCAACCATTATTGTTTCGCCCCACGGGGTTGCTCTTTTTGTCTGCACCATCATCTAATCTGAAACAGCACGCCTCGTGCAAAAAAAATTTGGCTCTCGAGCCTGCTTCGAGCTCACAAAAAGAGTTTATAACGAAATAAACCTGATTAACACAATCTTCATAATGCGCATCCCTTGAAGATAAAACAAAACAAAGGGTGTGCAACAGTTAATGAAAATTTTTTGCTTGAAGTATTATTAGGATTTATATTATCCTCCGCGCCTTGTAAAAGTTGTAAACTCTCTAAACGTTTGCCAATGTCTTTTTATTTTAAATATCTTTTTTATGCGCTCTAAATTTACTGATTGCATATTTGATAAATACATAATAATATGAAATTAAAGGAGTCATCAATCATCAAACTTTGATTAATTTCTACTTTGCAATTTTTTAATATTGGTTTATACTATAGAAAAATTCTGTTTAACTCTATTAATTGAATAAAAGTTAATTTATGCTTAAAGACTAAATTTTCTTTTTTCCTCCCTTGTTTATTGTAAATTTTATAATTTATGAATGCATAAATAAGTGAATAAATAAAGTTACTTTGCACATTAAAAGAAAAAGGAAATTAATTTTTATGTCAGAGTATTTTTAAATATCCGAGTTTTTTTTCTTCAAATTTATTACATACTAAAATTAAAAATACCCAAAAATAAATAAATCGCAGGAGAATTAATTTTGTTTCTATTTTCCAGGTTTTGATCTTCACTGGGAACCACATTCCTGAGCTGCCGTGGAACATTTTCGGCACCGAAGACGAAATGGAAAATCTGAAAGTGATCGACATGAGCAACAACGGCATTCGCTCAATCCGCGGCAAGACCTATCACCGCGCCACAAAGGTGGAGCGTCTCATCCTCAACTACAACGAGATCACCCTGACGGAGGACGGCGGCCACCCGCGTCTCCTGACAGGGTTTCCCAACCTTCGCGAGCTGCACCTGACCGCTGCTTTCGCGGCGCCGGACGACAAAGCTCTTCCGTTCGAACAACTCTCCGCCCTGAAGAAAATTCTGGAGACGGCCAATTTGACGCAGCTGGTCAAAATCCATCTTGAACAAAACCAGATCGCCTCACCCTTGCCCTCAGACTTTTTCTGCAGTTTGGAAAACCTCCTGGATCTGCATTTAGGCGACAACTGGCTGACGGACAGTTCGTTGCCGCGCATTTCCTGTCTCAAGCGGCTCAGGTTCATCGACCTGGGACGCAACCGGCTGCGAGCCCTGAGTCCTCAGGTGACCAGTGACCTGGAAAAGTTGCCGGAGCGGCACCAGCAGTTGATACTGGACCTGGGCGGCAATCCGTTGTCCTGTGAGGATTTCTGTGTGGGTGCTTTTGCCCATTGGCTCGGCGCTACCAACGTGACGGTGCGAAACCGGGACAGTCTGCGGTGCGTCAATGTGGGGCAAGTGCCGTGCAGCAAGGCCGTCCTGGACGCGGCGAGGAACAACGGCGGCCACAGCGCCGCCGCCCTGGTGCTCGGAGTGCTCTTGGCAGGGCTGATCGTCACCCTAGGCGTGGCGCTCTACCTGAACCGAAACTCGCTCACCTACCAGCTGAGTCCCCTGGTGGACACTGCCGGACGCAAGGTGCGCTACACCAGCATCGACAAGCCCGAGGAGCAGGAGATGAACGTGTGATGATTATTGACCGCCGGACTGAGTTAACCTAGCCATCGTACTCTAATTTCCACTCTTTTTAGCTTTTTTAACAACTTAACATTGTTGTAGTATCATGGTGTGTTCATTTTTACACGAAGTCGCAGACTGTCCGTCCGCTTTACTATTTAACCTCGTCTGTATTGGCCATTGTTGATTTTAATAAAGCATTCTATACTTATTTAACTTAAAAATCTTCTTTTTTATTTAAAAGTAAGTGATTCAACCATTTCATTTATTAATTGCAATTAAATATCAGCCATAAAACTGAGAATTTTAAGGTTTAAGAACATTATTTTTACTTTAACTTGAAATATAAGTTTTATGCAAAGTTTTATGAGGTTGCATACATATCCAAAAATATTTAGTTGCAGTTTGGAGCTCCGCTAGTTCAGCAATTTAAATTAACTGGTCTTTGCATTGGTCAATCAAGAATCTGATAGTTCAACAATCTAAGAATTATGATTATTTATCAGCAGTTGGCTAGAACCACATTAAAAACTAAATAATTATTTTTTGTATTTTTTTACTCATTCTTAAGTGCAGCAAATTAAATTTGAACTTTTTAAAAGATATCTTAACGTGGATTCAGGAAATCAGCGAGAAAAAATTCGTTTTTCAAGCTTAGTTTCTGAATCCACGAAAAGATTTCTTTTGAAAAATTAAAACGGAAACTGGAATTTAACAATGCAAACACGACACAACTCCACAAAAAATTACAAAAAAAAACACACACACACACACACCCATGCACACAAACAAATTAACAACATAAATTTGAACTGTTTAATTTAGTTCACATTACCTAGCATATTCGTTTATACTATTTGCAAACATTGTAAGTGTCAGATATGAATTAAACGAACCACAAATCTTGAATTAATAATGCACAGGTAATTCAATTACATACAAAATAGTTGAGGTGTTAAAATAGAGCCAAGCGTTTGAACATCGCCCTTGTTCCATCTTGCTGCTTTTCTAAGAACTGATTGATTATTCAACTCAGCGCTGCCATGAGAGCAGGCACGTGAGTTCTGTGCATAACGCTCGAGTGCAAATTCAGAATGTGCCCCAGCAGAGCCTTCTTGGAAAATCCGCTAACATAAACTCTCGGCGTTGTGTCACTTTGGCGAGGGCGCCGTCTATGATAGCACAGCGCGCTCTACAAGTTAACATTGCCGCTTCCGAGAAGGTCTCAAACCTAAATCCGCCCCGCTCTAAATTTTCACCCAACACCTCTGGGGTGCCATTGTCTTGTCTGCACATTCTCGTCCGTGCATGTGAGGAGAACTATCGTTCCGCGACGGCACCCAAAACTAACAAGTATGAAAGCAAACGCATCATGTCTTCTTGATCAGCTTTCAATACAAAATAAGGAGAAACTCTTAAATTATATGTAAATAATGCAATAATATTATTTATTTTACATATTTCCTCAAAAAGTAAGACTTTAAATGCAATTATATGCATTTCCTATACTTCATACTTTTTGTGAACAGTGATTTTTACTGCCTAATCCCTAGATCCATCCCCGACCCAAGCTTTAAAAAAAAAAAAATCATGCTTTCTGATGACCATCAAATTATCTTGTTTAGGTCATTCTGTTTAGGTCATTCTCCCGAGGAGCCGGCGCTCCCGAATTAAGGTTTAATAAGTAGTGAAAAAAAATAATTAAATTCGCTCATTACGGCCAGGCCTGAAAGTGTGTTTCTATGACGCACTTATAGAAGTAGGTACGCATTCTGTACTAGGGTACTTTTATTTAATGAAAGCGCCAAATCCACAAATAATAAAAGAACCTGCCAGTTTGCGTGCTCTCGGGAGAAACAAAAATATAAAAGGCGCACTTTTCTCCCCCTCATTCGGACAGGCAACGATTGAATGAAACGGTCGCCTCGTCCACTTTCCCTTTTTACCTGCCGAGTTAGATTTACAATTAAAAATAGACGTCTGAAAGAAATGAGATAATCGCTTCTATAAGTCTTTGTAGATTCGCGCGCAAAGCGATTTGGTTTTTCATATAGATAACTTAATTTAAAATCATTTTTAAAACCCCCCCGCTTTCACAATCCAAGCTTCATAATTGATTTAAATTTAAAATTTAATAAATTTTGAAGACGCAATCACCAATCAGCTTAAATAATTTTATTTAACAAATAAACTTTTTAAGTTTAGTTTTAAAAACAATAATTATTTAGAAATGAAAAAAATGAACAATATTTATTACAAAGTTAAATTTTTTCATTCCTGAACAACAATAATAATAATTGAAAAAAAAATTCCACAATTTCTAGTGACTTTAAAAAATTCCGTAAAGACCATTCTAATTGTTTCTTGAATTTTTTTGTGATTTTTACTCCATAATACCCTAGATCCGACCTCGACCCAAGCTTAAAAAATAAAAAATAAAAATACATGTTTTCTGGTGTTTGACGGGACTCAGCAACAAGGGACTCGGTCCCGACAAGTTCCCGCGGGACCGGCACCGTTTTCTTAAGGAGTGGCGGGAGTGGGACGTGAAGGCGCTTTCCCCAGTTCAATCAGATAGTTGCCGCAGATGCCTGGATTTATTACAAATTTGGCAGTTTAAGATGTTGTTAGCTCCTGGGGAGCCAGCGCTCCTGAGGAGCCGGCGCTCCTGAGAAGCCGGCGCTCCTGAGGAGCCGGCGCTCCTGAGGAGCCGGCGCTCCTGAGGAGCCGGCGCTCCTGAGGAGCCGGCGCTCCTGGGAGCCGGCGCTCCTGAGGAGCCGGCGCTCCTGGGGAGCCGGCGCTCCTGGGAGCCGGCGCTCCTGGGGAGCCGGCGCTCCTGAGGAGCCGGCGCTCCTGGGAGCCGGCGCTCCTGGGAGCCGGCGCTCCTGGGAGCCGGCGCTCCTGGGAGCCGGCGCTCCTGGGAGCCGGCGCTCCTGGGAGCCGGCGCTCCTGGGAGCCGGCGCTCCTGGGAGCCGGCGCTCCTGAGGAGCCGGCGCTCCTGGGAGCCGGCGCTCCTGGGGAGCCGGCGCTCCTGGGGAGCCGGCGCTCCTGGGAGCCGGCGCTCCTGGGAGCCGGCGCTCCTGGGAGCCGGCGCTCCTGGGGAGCCGGCGCTCCTGAGGAGCCGGCGCTCCTAGGAGCCGGCACTCCTGAGGAGCCGGCGCTCCTGAGGAGCGATGGCTCTTTCCCGAGGAGCGATGGCTCTTTCCCGAGGAGCGATGGCTCTTTCCCCAAGAGCGGTGGCTCTTTCCCCAGGAGCGGTGGCTCTTTCCCCAGGAGCGGTGGCTCTTTACCTAGGAGCGGTGGCTCTTTCCCTAGGAGCGATGGCTCTTTTCCGAGGAGCGGTGGCTCTTTCCCGAGGAGTTATTAAATATTAATTAATTATTAAATATTTAAAAGCACATTGCGTTGCTCGTGCGTCGCTTTTTACGCAAGGAGGGCCTTACCCTCCTTACTTGTGCGGCCAACATATGCGAGCACTGAGAAATCCGAGATGGTAGAAGGAACTCCTTCTAGATCTGGAAACGCGCGGTTTCGGTAATGATTTAGAGTTGCGGACAAAAAAAATGGTCGAGTGCGAAATGTAATCGGACGTGAACTGCTGCAAAACTGAGAAAAAGAACGAGCCACCGAAGCGAGCGTGCTCCGACGGCCATCTCTTAAGCTTTAATTTAAAAACAAAAAGTGGCGTTTATTTAAAAACACAAAATAACAAGTAATTATTATTATTTTTGTTTGGGAATTAAGTAATTTAAATTTGTGAATACAATTTTTTGTTATATTTTAATTTATAACTAATTCTTGTTTTTAAAACTGAACTTAAGAACTCCTTATTGACGTAGTCAAATCAAGTCTTTTCAACAATAGAAGCCATTTTGGGCAATTATTGTGAAAATAAAAAACCATTGTTGTAAAGACTTGATTTGACAATATCAATAAGGAGCCCTTAATAAGTTTATTTCGGCTGATTAGTGATTGTGTCGTCAAAATTTATTAAATTTTAAATAGAAAAGAATTACGAAGCTTAAATTATATTATATTATAATCTTGCGAGAAAATTTTTGTTCTGTAATAAAAAAGCAAGTATGCGAGCGAAGAGTGCAAAATTATTCGCTTAAAACATTACTTGCAAAAAATATTTTAGCCAAAAATTTTGTCTTTTTAATTTTTTTTCCACTTCATCGGGCCCCGCGGGTCCCCTAGCGACCTGGTGCCCGTGTAAATTTCCCCCCTCGACACCCTTGTTGCCGCCACTGCTATTTTTTGTTGTTGGCCAGCATTAACTTGTATGTAGAATAATTGTGATTGTTAGTGAATATGACTACGTATTTTGTTTAATGTAATCTAAACTAATAGCGGGGAAATTTAGAGAATTCGATTATTTGATTTATTATTTATTTATTTATTCTCCATTCGATACAGTCATGAGTCATGAATACAGCTAAAAAAAAAACTATAATAAAAGTACTGAAAAAGCTGAAAATACATTTGAAAGAGACAAATACTGTTACTTAGGGGGTGAATGGAGAAATGGCTTTTCGCTAGCAAACAACTTGCTAAAGCACAGCACCCTCTCCTTCGAAAGAGAGCGTACTGGCCGCTAGAGCCATAAAAATTCATGAACTTGCAAATGATTAAAACGCACTTAGTAAAATTAAAACTGCTTAAAAGCAGGCAAAAGAGCTTTTAAACTTTAATTTTTATCTGTTCCACAATATATAGTTGTTCATAGCATAAATTTTTTATGAATTAACTAATTAATTTCGTATTAAACCAGAGTTTCAGGGGAAATTATGATATTTTGCTCATAAAAAGAATTTTTTTTCTCTGAATAAATAATATTCAAAATAGGTTGACCAAAAAATTCAATAACTGATATTTTTTGTCTAGAATAATTGGACAATTTTGACAAAAATACATTTATTCATGTGTCAGCCAATTAATTCCAGGGAAAAATGGTTTCCTTGCACGTCTGTTGTGCACATATAGATGCGTCCAAAGCCACAATGAGGTGGTTAACACGGACATTGACGATGGTTGCAGAATGTATAGGCGCACATCAGTGGCGGCAACAAGGGTGTCGAGGGCGGAAATTTACACGGGCACCGGGTCGCGAGGGGCCCCACGGGGCCCGACGAAGTAGAAAAAAATTTTGGCGGAAAATATTTTAGGCAAATAATGTTTTAAACAAGAAATTTTGCTCGCTTCGATCGCAAATTTG